ACCCAAACATAACTGACAGATAATGGAGTCAGTTTTCGTGAAAAAATGCTAAAAATAACGCGCACGTGCACAAACAAAGGAATCACCCATTCATCACGTTTTTGGTAGCCAACTGATTCCCAGTAGCACTTGCGCAGCTTTACTTGTCCCGTCTTGACCGTCTAGCCAAGCGAGCTCAGTTTTGTTCCTCATGTAAACAATTCTTCAACTTTTTATTTTCTGAGGATATGTATGAAACCTTGGCTCACCAAGGGTACCCTGGTCCCAGAGGTTTTTCTTGAAATTGTTCTTCGCAAAAGAGAGAGCGAGCCGCGAAGCGGTTGCGATGGAGTTAAATTCCTTTATGTTTCGAGTGTTTATCCTATCTGGGTCGTTTGTATATGTTGAAATGAAAAATCGATTATAACAAAAGGACTGTGTGCAATCTATCTTGATATACTTTGTGTGACGAGAAATGTCTGCCGTATTACAGAGGGGGTCTACCAAAAAAATCTGCATCAGAATAGGTATCTCCAGGAGCCTACCTCCCACGAAGTTAATTAACACGAACGCAGGTGCTAAGGATCGACGAAGATCATAGCGGACAACCAAATAAATTGTAATTTACGTTTTAAAAAACATCTAGCAGACGATAACAAACACAACAAGGTAGTAGGTTTGGTTTTCTAAAAGCTACTCGTGCGCCGCGTGCCGTTAATTAATGTTCTCACAGTGGGGTACTTTAAATGTATCAATGTCCCTTGTCTAAGTTTCATAGGAAGCTATGCCCAAGTTGGTATTTTTTAAAATTATAATTACTTATTTTCTTGTGCCCGTTTTCATCGTTCTTGAAGTTTCAACCCATCTTTGTGTCGAAATTTCATCTGTCTTCGGAATATCACGCTAACAGGACCTTCTAATTTCGAGCCTCTCTGATTTAATAACGTTTTTACTCAAAGTAAAGGTGAATTAGACTGGACTAAATAACAAATCATCATGTTCAAGATCTTACACTGGATACGAACGGATCATACAAATAAAAACTGTTTGTTTTATACTCTTTTTCTCTGTCTCACAGTTACGCGAAAAGAGTTGCACGCATGAATTACACAATTAAGATGCGGTGTTCCACGGCCAGATCTGCGACTTCCTTGACGTTTGTTTCATGTAGTAGCTGGGCTCTCTCGGAGAATGGAATAAGCACATCGTAAGACTTGAATGTTGACATCTTGGAAATGTTTTTCAAACCAGCTTCTATGTGTTGAAGAACCTCTTGGTCCCACAGCAATGCTTGACCTGTGATCAATGAACTTCGCTCATCTTCGTGAGACACACCTCCAAACATTATACCCAGGAGGATCCATCTTCTGTTCACGAGCTGAATCAAAGGGCAGCCTGATGCTCCACTTCCAACAGAAAAAGCAAAGTTGATCACTTTAAACGGCATGTTCTTGTACATCTCATCTACTGCCATGTCGAATGCAAATTTCTTGAATCCATCCTGAATTCCGCCGAAGTGAATGGCAGCAAGCGGATCAGAGGACCTCAAGCTGAATTTGACTTCACCATTGGTATTAAACGCATTTTCGACAAGTGAAGAGAAATTGAACAAGCTGAATTGCTCGAGAAGTTGTTGTTCATCTATTTCCCATTCTTCTATATCATTTTTCTTTCGCCCATAGCTATATTGGATGCCAAGTTTGACAAGAGCTATGTCCCTGTTGTGATAATCTGGCCTTCTACCTACGGGAAGTAAGCGATGAATAATAGCTCTGCGAGGTCTTGCGTCGAACGAAATTTCACCTTTTGGCGGGAAGAAAACAAATATTGCCTTGTTAACTTTATCGCGATTTCGAAGGACATGAGCGGCTGTCACAATCCATCCATCACCAAAATGAAATCCGGTTCCAACGTACCCAAGGCCATCCGTATGAGTAACTTCAATCCGGCAAACGCCCGTGCCAAACTCTTGCAGTTTAGAAAGCGTTTCGTTTAGATTGGACGTTTTCGCAAGGGAGGCTCGATAGTTATCATCGACTGGGATGCTTGAAATTACCTTTCGTTTGTCATTTTCTTCGCACTGGGAAAGTTGTTGTACCTCACTTTCGTATAAAAATCGACGACCTTTCGAGTAACGCCTAAATATTGAACAAGACATTGCGAGAGCTGCGGGCTCATTACAATACTGAACAGTATAAAAATTAACTAAGAAACATCAACTCTCCCAGCTCACAGCAGCTGCCGTTGGCTAAACAGTTGTCTTGACGACGTCAAGTTTTTCGACAGTGGTTTTTTTGTTAGTAAAATTTTCCATTTTTCTATTTTGCGTTCTAACAGTAAGAACTATCTGTCTGTACAGATGCTTTACGAGTTTGCAAACTGTCGTCCGCATTAGCAATCGATTATTGCCAAATACAGACAAAGTATGTTTTTGTAAAATCACAGAGAGGAGATAATATTTTTAAAATTCATATCCACAACTCAGGGTGATGATCCGATTGTCTGCAGTTCAGTCAAAGATATCCATTCATATGCAAATACCAAGAGGCCTTAGTGTGGCCGGCTGTTAATTCTTATGCTAATTATTTTAGTTTCAGGTCTTTAAACGATTTGACGGATTTTCTAAATAGCGTCTTGATCAGTAAAAGTTTATTTATCTTCTGTGTACGTTGTTTAGTTTGAAAATGACACAAAGTAAGCAATAAAAAATAAGGAAAATTAAGGATAGAGGAATAACGTTTTGAATCTTGACAACATGTTCACAAAATTATAAAAAGCCTCATAAAAGCGTTTAACTGCATGGAGTCTTCTGTCATTTTTGTTCAAACAACGGAAACAAAAGTAGACCTATTATCATATCTGATGTGACAGAGCAGTTATCATGAAACCAAACATATAAGAATAGACCAGAAATATACTTTGCTTTACGTTTCTGCTAGTCAACTGACGTTATACATATTAGAAGAACTGAGTCCCTCATCAGTTTTTGTAGGATGTAGTGTAAGTGCAACTGAGTCAAAGGGTCAAAAGACTATGGCTATATATTTTAAGGACTTGTCGCCCATTGTTATTAATTTGGCTACACGGTGGCGACAAATTTTCATATTGCGAAACATTTATTTATTTTGGGCGACGTATAGGGCATAGGAATTTGTCGTGGGAATAGAAGCATGTTAGTATAGTTAACTCTTGAAAAGAGCCAAAGAACAAGGACTTAACTTAAACTAAGGCAGGGATCAACTCAATGTGTCCGTCTTATAGAGGTTTCAGTGGAAGTTGATTGCAGTTAACTGCAGAATACAGGGTCTCGGCTGATAATTGACGCCCAACAACCACGGCGACGGCTACGAAAACGTCACTTAAAAGTGAAGTTGCGCTGCTTCAAACTTGATCGCGCTTATTCTACATCTCATTCAATTCGTCAACTCTTGGCAATTTTTTCTGGAGTTGAATTCTAAAACTCAGTGATCGAAGCAGAAACAGAAGAAAAAAGTCGCTGCCTTGTGTTCACGTCCTCCACAAAACGTGAAATTAGGAATTTTCACTTCGTAGTCATGCAGTGACGGCAAAGAAATGTACAAAAACGCGGGCGAGTTGTTGTCGGTTTTGCCAAACTAAAACCTTTTGCTTTTTTACCGTTCTCGTTGATGTCGCCGTCGTCATTGCTTAAATTAGGAGAAAGAAAGCAGAAAAGGATTCTGGAGAATATGGTTTATAGACATGAGTCGAGTTAACGAGCATAAAGTGTGGAAATGGGACACGTAACCTCGCAGGCTTAATGCATATGGTTCAACTCTACCTGTAACCACGCCCAAACCGCACCCGCGCATAAACGTGGAAAGTGAGCCTACTGAGAGGCTAGTGAGCCTGTTGTCGGGCTAGCCGGGAAGATGTCAAATTTTCTCTTCGTGGCGATCTATTCACCACCCCCAGGAGCACAGAAAGAGCCAATACCTCACTCCCTTGACTCTAAAATATTGATTTCCGCGTTATTGAAATAGCAAAACTAGCCGTTTTTGACTTCCCGGACCCTTCCTCCACTGATCCGCCACTGAAACAGGACAGGACTTGTGTTCACACAGAAAAAAGGTGATCCTAAGCGGTTTCTATAACTGACGGAAGGTGCGCCGCACCGATCTTTAAAGTGTATGGCGTTACATATCGGACAAGTCTCTGTGACATTCTTCATGGCAGTGTGAACGGTGTTCATACCAGGCCATCAAAGTCCAATCTGCTGTGGTCTGGATGGCGTTAGGTTTTCAACCTTTTAATTCATTTTCACTTTAAGCTGTTCTCAATACAACTTGCGTATTATTCCATCAAAATGTGCAAACGTTCCAAGATTAATCACATGCCGTATTCACTCGACGATCGGGAACTTGAACGTCGACCTTGAATATTAAACTGCTGCGCAAAGCAACTGGAGAGATGCGCTTCCAGTTGTTTCAGTTGAGATTTTTGGAAGAGTATTAATATAAAACAAAAAAACTTCAGGCGTGGCTTTTAACTTGATGCGAAGACCTAAAGCCTTTTTGCACTAATATTACTGTTTCCATTATGTTGTAGCAAGGGCACATATATGGACCTTTTATGTTTTCTCTTGCTTGTGGGTGTTAACAACAGGTACTGCCTCAAAAATGTGCCAAACGTTAAAGATAAGGTTTTTTGACATATGACAAGTGACCAAATGTTTTCACATTAAAAATAAAGATTCTTGAGTGAAGGATAAACGAATCACTGGACATCATCTCAAAACGTCACGTTTTATTAGGTTACCTGCTAATCAGAAAAGACCCCCACCCTCCCACCCCCAAGAAGCCTTACCCAGGGATAGCTGAGGACAAGGTCAACAAGTGTATCATTTTCAAAAAAAATTACAGGTTCACAATATTCATGTGCATTTTTTCCATAACTTCTAATACATGATCAAGAAATTTTAAGACCAATGTCGTGAATAAATAATATCAATCAATCAGCTAAATAATAATTATTATTAACAATATAGTTTCGTATCCCTTTTGGCTCCTATTATGACAAAATAATTATTTATTTTAACCTATTTCTTTCATTTAAAATAGCAGAACAGTATTTAGTCACCAACAAGAATATTGTAAATTTGCTTCTTAGCTCATTAATTTCTGCAGATATAGAGATTTCTCAAACAAAAAAATTTAAGATTTTCCCAACATATATGCTGTGGAGTGAGCACCTTGTGACACTTTTATTATTATTAAATTTTATATTAGCTGAAATTTAATGAAGCACACTTTTCTGTGCATTTCTTTGCCGTCACTGCAGTGCTATGATGGGAAAACTAATGCCTAATTTCACCTTTTATAGAGGATATTAAGCTAAAGTTATCCTTGCTGTTGCCGTTGCCGTTCCCTATTTCCTTTTTTTGTCAAAGCAATATCATTTTCCTACCAAAATAGCCAGGAGGCAAAATCTGTGGCCCTCAATAATAGCTCTTATAATAAAAATATATATTGGCTCATCTTTTGACATCAGATACCAGTCAGTAGGACTGGCTTGAAGTTAGAAATAACCTTCACAAAATGGTATTGAAAATTGGAACAATATCTTTCACTAACTACAGACAAGCAGCACTAGCACTACATTTAATTAATCAACAGGCATCTACTGACATCTAAGTGAAGCCATGATTAAGATTCCACACTGTTCATCAACACTCAACAAAATGGTTTGTTTTGAGTGGAACATCAATAAGTTGCTCCTGACTACACCATGGTGCTTTAGAATCTTCCTTAACTTGTGTTTCAACACACTTAGCATCTCCAAATGAGCTCAAATATACAGCATACAAAGCTCTTGCTTTTACAAGTGTTTTAGAAAGGTCATGCTTTCGAACCAGTTTATCAAAGTACATGGCAAGAGTGTTGTAATCCATTTGTTTTTGCACGCAGTGATCCTTGTGAAGTGATAATATGGCCAAGCACATAAACAGAACAAAAGGATTACCATCGCCCAGTTGATAAGGGCCTGGCAATGGAAGCAGTTTTGTTGTTTGATCCACAGATTTTGGCATTAATTGACAAAAGGCACTATCCTCCAGATCACTGTCTGAATCCTGCTCTACACCAACACTGGTATCCTCTCCAAAGTAGCCATTCTGCATGAGAATTGCCGCTGAGTTCACTCTGGCCACCCCACCAGCTGAGCTGGCTTTAGATGGCTGTGTTATCGAACTCCAGGTGACATCCATCAACTGCAGAGCATCCTCAAAGGGAAACTCTCTCTTCAGATCAAGAAGAAGCCAGCGATAGCAGAAAAACATGTCATCTGCACCAATATTCATGAGATACTTGAACAGTTCTGGCTCCATGCGATGGACCAACAGAGAAAGGTGCTCAAACTTGAGTGTCATTGCTTTCCCATCCAACAGAAAATGTCCTTTCATTCTGTCCATTAGAGAACAAAAACAGGTGTATGCTACCGAGTCATCATCAAAGACAACTAGCAAAGGTGCCGCCAGATCACTCATTCCTTGGGCATAAGACACATCAGGATTTTCTATGGCATAAGTTGTCAACAGGTTAAACAAAGAATCCATGTTCTTATGATCGTCTGGCACAGAAAAATAAGGGTGCCCACGGTCAGTTCGCAACACATCTTTCATTATTAGATGGGTAATGGATTCTATTTCTTTGTGATTTCGAGCTTTCCATTTTGATTTAAGATGTTCATAAACTTGTGATTTCATGTTCAAGTGCCTTTCTCTCTCTTCTTTGGTCAAGTCAGGGGGGAACACATTTAGGAGATGAGGCCAGACCTCTTTACGTAAACCAGGCTCAAGTCCACCTCCTTGGAATATCCTGGCCCATAACTCATCAATACCAAGCACTCGACCTTCAGAGTCTAAATGAGACTGCCATTCAATTTCCCTTAAAGGTCCCCGTCGGATTGTTTCTCCAAATGCTCTGGTTATCTTGTTGAATGTTCGTTCCATTTGATGTTTCAAAGATATGTGAAAAGGCACATTTGTGGAGACCCCAGTGGATTGTACATTGTTTGTCAGGGGAGCTTCAGTGGCTTCAAGGAATGTCCAGTCATTTTGACCTTCATCTGCGACACAGGAAAAAAAAACTGTCTAAGAAACAAAAGAAGTATAGCTCATATGGGTCATTCTTCCACAACAACTTAAGCCTCAATAAATTACGGTTAACACATCTTGCTGTTGCTCCACTTTCAAAAAGAATCCACCTTGAAAATCTCTATCAGCAGTCATCAAGCAAGCTCTTCATTATGATACACTGGAACCTTGATATAATGAACCTCTGTATAACAAAATCCTCAGTATAACACAATTCTATTTTGCCCAGTAATAGTGAACTATATGGCAAAAGACCCTTGTATGACAAAATCTCATTATAGCAAACATATTTTGCCAGTCCCTTGGCCCTTTGTTATATCAAGGTTCCACTGTAGTTCAAGGCTACATTAATTTTATGCCCAAGTTGCAAGTGCGTTGCAATCAATGAATTGAGCTTTATAATGAAAAGCGACACAATGTGGCAAGCACCTTGAAGAAAACAGAAGTGCTGCAAGCCACATGACACAAGCATGATATATATGTAAGCAGTTGACATGATGGTAACAGGATAATCACTGTTTAGCCAATAGTGATTTGCTTCTTTTGGAGACAGCAAATTTAAATTGCTCTCAAAAATCTCCACAGACTTTCTATTTTCTCATTTCGCCATCCCACCCTTGCACTAGCAGCCAAAAAAATTACCCACAGTTTTATTCTAATAAACTCGCCTGACATTATCTCTTACGAAAAAATAAAAGGTCTGTGCATAGACTAGATTATATGCACAAAACGTAAATAATAAATACTGACAACTGGTACAACAACATCATACATTATACAGTACACTTTCAAGATACCATTTACATTTAAACAAAGACATCCTCAAAAGTGAGTGGGCACTCACTCAAAATAAATTGAAATCTGTGATATCTTAAGCCTATTCATTTTTATAGAGAAGGGAATCCTTAAATAAAAGAGGGGACCCAAAAGGCTCTCATATCTTTTTCTCACAAAATCAATAGCAAGAGAAATTTTGTATCCATGGTACCCACAGTGTTCTTGCAAAAATTCAGGTCACTATAATGCTTTATCTTAAATTCAAATTAGTAATGCCCTGAGATGACAAAGGATCAAAGGGGACCATTTTGAGTAAGAAATTAAATAGTATTATCACGATACCTATAAATAAATTTGATAATAAATTAGGAGTTTTTTGCCCAACAGCAAAACATAAGGCTTAAAAAATAGCCCTTCACATGCCCTTCTCAGTTTCTTCGTGGTGATTCTCTATCTCACATTATTTTGTCATCATGACTACAGCATTTAATAGCATACCAGAATCTTCAATAATTATTTGGAGTTGATTATAAAATTCAATCTAGGGCATCTCCAACAAGAAACAAACACAATAAGAGCAACTCTTACTAAAACCAAGCCAGAAACACATGTTGCTTCAGATGATGTGCTTTCTGGACATCAATAATCTGACTATTAAAGGATCATGCAAATTTCACCTGAGCATATAACAGGTTCAATCTTGAGGCTCAAAAATGGTAAAGAAGCAGTCATGAATGCAGCATCTAGGTCAAAGTCTGATGTAAGAGAGAGGAAAACATCAGGTCTCTTGCCATTTTCACTGGTTTGTGGAAGCTGGTAAGATATTTCGAAGTCTCTACGAGATTAAACAACAACATATTTGAGTGTAAACTAAAAGGCAACAGCAAGATTATACCAAAACAGAAATGTGCTATGGGGAGAGAAGAGGCTCTCTGCTCTCACATGTGCTTCCAGACAGGCCACACAAAGAACTCTACGTCCCCTACTCTTTCTGAACAGTAGTGTGGGTTCATTTCTTGGGATCTGAATCCCCCCCTTCTGCAGTAAACAGGCCTGAGAAAACAGCTGACACTTTGCAATGCCACCACTGGTTTCCCTGTGAAATGACATCTGAGAAATGAGTGCAGAAACTCCATACTGATGATGCATCACTAACCAGATCTGGGTAGTGCTTCTGACTGGTTGTGCTGTGTGAGAAATTTGCTTCAGCCAATCAGAAGCACTACCCAGGAGTCATCAGCATAGAATTTCTGTGCTCGTTTCTCACATGTAATTCCGCGGGGAAACCAGTGGTGGTGGTGCAAAATGTTGGCTGCTTTCTCAGGCTAGGTATTAACTAACCCAAGAAATTATTTTGTTTCAAAACAAATTTCCCCCACACACAAACCATCTAATTACGAAGGGGAAGATTTCCCCCCTTGAGAAAAAAACTAAATTTGACTGCATCATTTTGACACACTTATAAGAGGGATCCATGATGTGCTTAGGCAGATAACCTTTAAAACATTTTCTAGGGAAATTAATCTTTTGAGATAGCGCCCTCTACAGTGATAGCACATGTTTGTAAACATTGTTTCTATTATTCTAATGCGCCAATCACTAAAACAAAAGAACATTTTGTTTGAGAACTAATAAGCATCAAGCAGGCACATGAATTCAGCTGACAACACATAATTATGTTTCACATTTATTTCAAGCAGCTTCCAAAGGTATTTGTAAAGCAAACAAGCTGATGTTCAATAGACTAAAGTCAGTCTGAAGTTGAAGCTAGTGTTCACTTATTACCCAGAGATGTCAAAAACAAGCAATGGGTGAATGCTGGTCTACTTATATTAATTGGTGCAATTTGCAGTGGTTTTGTTATCCATGAGTGATTATAAATTGCCTAAGAAGCAAAATACATTGTACTCACTATCTGTCTTCTCATTAGCTAAGAGCCTACAGCTAATTTTGGAAATCAGTGCAACCTACAGATTAGTTAGTTATCTACTAGCAGATAACTGACTAATCTGTAGGTTACATGCACAATGCATGATTTCCAATAACAACACCAATTCAGGCCGGCTTCTTTGTGACAGTGTGTTTGTAGTTATTTTCTTCAAAACAATGTATAATAAAACAATCATTAAATTCGGTTTTTGTGATATCCTACTGAATCAAGGTCTCGGTAACTGTGATCAGCCTCGGCCTTCAGCTGATAACACTTACCTTGACCTTGATTATCCTGGATGTCACAAAAACCTCATCCAATAAATGTTTATTAGCAAATCCTCAGTTAGGACATGGGCCTTCATTTTATTAGTTAAGCCTCAACATCACAAACGCAATCAATACCTTTGTGAAAAGATACCCTCGACTTTTTAAAAATATGAACAATTAGAAAACATATTTTTGGAAAATGATATTTATGAGTGGTTGCAGCTTAGTAGGATGTCATTTTTTCAAATCAATTCACATTAACTTTTAATAATTAACACTGACTTCGACTCTACTATTCTTAAGATAAGTTTAAATTCACACACTTACCCTTGAAGTTGGAAAGCTCGTTTCAATAAATGATGAATGTTATTAAAGGAAGTGATATGTGGATCAACGGAAAAACATCTAACCAAACTGCCATCACATAACTGAGACGAAAAGAACAAAAACATTGTTCACATTTAGAATGAATAAATCATTAGTCGTCATAACTTCGACCCAAAAGAAAAGATCAGTCGACTATCGCAAAGTTTCAGTCAGTTAGAAACACTCACCAATGCTTTCACGCGAATGGCTTCTCGATCTTGCAGAGTGTTAATGGTGGTGAAAGACATCTCCAGCTTCTTTCCCTGAAAGAAATATGAACAGGAAAAGTTGCTACAATTGTCTTACATGGTTTCATGACTACGTATATCCTCCATATTGAAAATAACCGCTAACAAAAACAATAGTCTCGCTGGCTCGATAAAATTTTATGCCCATATTTGGATATTTCCGGATGGGGAAGTTAGACTACTCTTCCCATGATACCTCGGGATACAATTGTGGAATAATCGGAGCCATCTTGAATTTTGCAGAGTTTTGATTCCTGAAAGTGGAAGAATCTTGTAGAAAATGGCCGACTATGATGAGCCCATTTCAGACGCAGAGAAGGTATGAACAATTTTAACATTTCCCTTAGTAGCTGTCGTGGCACATGCAGCTATACAGCTTTTTATACCTCAATTCCCTTCAAATCTTAGGTGCGGATTGCTTCTGATTTCATCAAACACGCCCCACCAGGAGAGTTCAACGAAGTTTTCAATGGTAGGGGTGAACGTTTTTGATGTACTTTTCTGTTCTTTGGGCTTTTCCGACCTGCTTTCCTTTTCCTTTAGATGTCCGTATCTTGTTGAGTAATGACAATTTGCTGAAGGAGGAAGCTGCCAGGTTTGTGTGAGAGTAATAACTAAAACTTATCTAATTTGAGGTAGCTCATGACTGTAAACTCAATCCTTGATTATAAAAAGATTTTGTAAGGAAAAAATAAAAGCGTTCTTCTTATCAATACGAAAATGCGATATTTCAGGTGTCCATTCTTTATTTCTCCATCATCTGGAAAGTAAGCTATTGACGACAGTTATTCTGTATACAAATTGGTGGCACTTTGAAAAAACAAGTCGCAATATCAAAAAACGTAATTGTTGTTTTTGTTATTGATTTTGACTCACCATTGCCCGTAGATATGTAATATTTGACCTTGAGAGGGTGTTTAGCCACACAATTACAGAAGTGTGGCTGTAGGGAGGCACATGTAGGTGTTTTTTTTTGTATTTTTTTTCTTTCCCATGCCATTGCATCTCAATATAATGTTCTCTTAGCTGACTCCGGTACATTTGGTCTAACACTCACCCTGCTTGTTGCCCCATCCCAGTGACCTGTGATAAACAATAAGCCATTTGCAACCTAGCCTGCGAAAACATCTGTTTCTCCTCGCTCTTCGCCGCTGGGGACGTTTCGCGCGGAGGAACGTCTGCGACTCAGTGGCAGAAATTCTATACTGATGACGTAAAATCTGTCCAGAATCCGGTCACAAGCGCTGATTGGTCAACGGAGCAGTTACATTGTTTTAGCTATTGTTTACAAATGACAGACAAGAGACAAAAGGTCACAAAGGTCAAATGTAAATGCGGAGAATTTCTAACAAAACAATCTATATTTGTGGAATATAGTCTTCTCTAGAAGAAACATTTGAGTTTCGCTTGAGCTCGTTGGCAGATGATCACAGTACTTTACCAAAATCGACCAGGAGACACGTAAAATTGGACAAATTTATACTGGTAACCCCATAACTACCAGAATTATTATGTAAACATTGATTTGCGTCATCAGTATGGAATTTCTGTTGCTGAGTCGCAGACGTTCCTCTGCACGAAACTTCCCCAGCGGCGAAGAGCGAGGAGAAACAGATGTTTTCGCCGGCTATTTGCAACCAGAAGGCTTCACACTTTCACTGTCTTGTGCAAATTGGGGTTATTGATATTTAAACCTCACTGGAGTTACTAACTTGAACCTTACAACATTGTATCAGTTTCACAAGATCAGCATTTCTCAATCCTGATTTATAATTCATGAAGAGAATGCAAAGGAAATCTCTACAATGATGGTAGTTTGGATATCAGATCTTGAGCTTAGTGTCAGTGTGAGAACCTATGATATCAAGCATCTTAATATCCAATATATATCTATATATATATATAACCTATCACAAGCATCTTTTAGAAGACACTCCCTTCACAACTCAATAAATACAGTACCACAAGTGAAGAGTAAAACAATATGTTTTTCGTCTCTCACCTATATTTCGGCCGTGTTAAACGGCCTTTATCAGGGTGAATGGCCGTTACAAGCATCACACACCATTATAACATGATAACGAACAAATTTGAAAACTTGCACGCGCTACAAAGAAAGATAAACACGCTCGCGCTCTTACCGGACGTGAGATCTAGTCGACCTGTTCTGGCTGTAAAAAAGTCACTTATATTCAAGCCCTGAGGCTGAATACAGTTCAACCTATAGGCCCACTGGCCTTCAAAAACTCAGCTGCGCCTGTTTTTTTCCACCCACTTCCTGGTTTCTGGATATTAATGAAATGTTATGCATCACGTTTAATACGTCAATATTACTTCTATTTCAATTTATCAACAGTGCCTTCTCTGATTACAACAAAGATCAATTTACTCCAGTCAAACTTGAGGGTACTGATGAACAAGTAAGTCGTGGAAACCATAAAGTATTATTCTTCTTTCAATGTTGCTGCCTAAGAAAATTTTTTGGAAGCCCTTTGGGCTCCAAAAAGAAAAAAAAAAGGCAGCAGCCTTGTCGTTTAGTCTTCGTAAGTCCTGAAGTAAGAGAGTCTAGTAGATTGTGGGTATTTAAAGTCATATTTGACACCACAAGCAATCATATCTTCAATGTGGGAAGTCTAGTTTCCATTGTTGTTTAATTATTTAATTTATTTATTCAGGTATTAGTGACCAAACACGGTGAACTTCCTGATGGAAGATTCCATGATCCCAGAAGCAAAAAGGCTTTTCATTATGACCACTTGCGCAAGGTGGGAAATGTTATTATTGTTGTGTTCTCATGTTATAACCGCATGGTATTTGGCTGAGAGGCCAGGGAAAAGATTCAACAATCTCCATTAAAAGACTTCAATTTGGTGAAAACTTATGTTTAAGTTCTTCTGTGATAATCTATTCCATCACTGGAGGACAGATGACTACCATTTTTTTAACCTGAAATGATGTTGACATTCATTGTTTTGGGAAAAAAATAAATCAACAAAAACTTAGGGAGCTCCTAAATTCTTTGAAGTAAAATGGGTGTGACTTCTACTGTTACTTGCATTAGTGTCTCTCATCAAAACCAAAGAGAAATTCTCCTCTAAACCTTTTTGTGTTTTTGTTGTCTGGACACTTTGCTTTTTGCCCAGAGCTGTGTGTAATCGATTGCATAAATTTGATGATCTTCTTATTTACTCTCTCTTCTGATTGAATATATATTTTCCTTTATATATGCATTCTTTATTATGATCACTTTTGACCTTGGACATGACATTTGTAATGTAATGATTATTTTTACCCTGCCATGATAGTAAAATCCCTGAAAAGAATGTTTTGATTGAAAGTCTTACAATGTTGGGTGTATTTGTTGCAGGAAGCAAGTAATCTCGCTGACCATGATCCCAATCCAACAGCTGAACCATGGAGGAGTGCTATTGAGGAAAGTGTCACTGCATATGTCAGAGATCATTATCCACATGGAGTCTGCACTGTATGTACCAACATAAGCATAGTTTCTTGCTAACATTTGCCACATGTGCATTGATTGATGTGCAATCATCATTGTCTGTTGAATGCAAATTTGTTTTCTTTTGATAAGTTTCTCGTACATTTTGTTCTTGTTGCTGCTGCCAGTGGTAAATAATTTTTTATTTCCAAAATTCTGTTGTTTAAATAGGTTTATGGTAGCAGCTCTGGTGGTACAATAAATATTACTGCTTGTATCGAAGATCACCAGTTTCAACCTCAAAATTTTTGGTAGGTTAATAATTATCTCTCCAAGTGTACAGAGTGTATTATTTTCATCTTGTAGTCAAGAACAACTGGGATGCTTTGCATGTTATTGGATTGTGCGTTCTACGATGTACATGCGAAAGTCTGTCAAGGCGGGAGTTCTCAAAGGAAGGGGAATTCTTAAAAGAGAACACAAAGAGCATGCAGACAAGGGAGAAGAAAGGGAATACTTGGTTCAAGACCATTTTTTGCCATTCTGTCATTAACTCTGGAGATCTTGTCCATTTTCAGGAATGGTCGTTGGCGTTCAGAGTGGTCTGTGTCATTTCAACCATCAGGAGGAAATGTAGAGGTCACTGGAATCCTTAAAGTACAGGTAATAATCTAACAATGCTTGTAGAGAGAGAACGTGTTGCAATAGTAAATCCCACCCACCAATCTTATGCCACACAGCAAAAACAACAATTTATCTTTTCTACAGTTGTGATTGGAAAAATTGGTAACATGGCTGCTTTTTATTTATCTTTTTCAGGTTCATTATTATGAAGATGGAAATGTTCAACTTGTCACAACCAAAGAGGTGAAGGAAGACCTCAAAGTCACGGTAAGAATTGATTGTGTGTAACCCTCTTTTCCTTGTCTTCTAATATTAATTAAAGTTTTTACATGAACAAAAAGATGATGACAACAAGAGCAAAACATGCAGAGCATGAGCTGTTAAAGGGAGAGGGTTTATCAACAAAAGGAAAAAATAATTTTTGTGCTTCATTAAGTTATTATAACTGTTTGTGTGCCATATTGAAAGTTGAAATTCTATTAATGTACTGTCCATTTCCAGAGTGAGCATGGAACAGCCAAGCATTTTTTGCAGATCGTAGATAATGCAGAAACTGACTATCAGGTAATTAGTTGGGATTTCGTTTCCACTTTGTATTATTAATTAATTCTGGAAAGTTTGCCAATGTCAGGGATTTGTATAATTTCATAAAGTTAAGTTAAGGTGGTATCTGGGACAAACTCATGGGTTTTCTCAGCATATAAGTGATGATAGTTGTCAGATAGTGCAATTCCTATTCCTCTGAGATTTTCATGATATATAACATTACTCCATGTAACTCAATGGCCCCCTAGAGTCTGAGATGTGTTGTATCCTGTTTAAATCTCCCTTCAGTGTTTTGCATAGACTTTCAGTTCTTAAACCCATCTTGCAAAGAGTTGATCTGGGGAGTAGATGATTTGCTTAATTTAATTGGTTTTTTGACATTTTGAGGGCATTTTGTGTCTCAAATTATTGACTTTTGTATCTGATTGTTTGTTTTGTTGTTGTTGTTTTTGTCTGCATTGATAAATTTTTGTGAATTTGAATTTCAGTCCTTGTTGCCTAGTACCGTTTTTGGTGTAGAATGTCATCTTATTTGAACAAATGTTGACCTCAAAAGGTTGATAGAAAAACATGCTAAATTTTATCATGATTTTCCTTTTTTCCCCAGAGAGCACTGTCGGAAAACTATAGTACCATGTCGGATACAACGTTTAAAGCTTTACGAAGACAGCTACCAATCACACGCACTAAAATAGACTGGAACAAGATTCTTAACTATAAGATTGGACAAGAGCTTAAAAGTTCTTAGGTTATGTTAGGAGAGCAGTGTGGATGATTTTTTATAAAATACAGCTGAGGACTTTTAAGTGCCAAAAAATCCTACTAGTGATTGTATTAACAGAATACCTAAGTGTAGCGCTCGATTAGCAGCATTTTCGGAAGATATTTAACGAATGGCTTTGTAATAGAATTGGCTTTTGGTGTTTCTCTTCCAAACTTGCATTTGAAAAGTTAAAGTTCCTGCTAATATTTTTCCTCAGTAGATGGGACTTTAGTTGATTCTTGTAAGATAATTTAAAAAATGAAGTAAATATCAACTGCTTATGTACAAACAGTGAAGAAAAATACGAGTGATGTTATGGAAAACTGAGATGGGTATTTTTTGTCCTCTATGTCCAATTGTTTTAAATAGCACATTTCCGAGTTTCAAAGACCCTCACTTTCAAAATGAGGCCAAGACCTTTCTCGTAACAATTTCTTGTATAAGTTTTATTTGCATGAGAATAAAACATCATTGTCATATCAAATCCTCTCTTTTACCCTCACCTTAAAACAGAGACTTGAGGCAGCTCGGAAGAGGTTCATTCCACGTCTGGTACTCTGTGAACACGCAGTAATACATTGCACAGGAATGCCAGTCTCCCACTTCCTATTTGGTGAGGGGCATGGCATGAGGCAATGAACTGATGGCTGAATATTAAGCCAAACTTTTATGTCCTTGAATATATAACTAGAGCTTATACTGTTAACCCTTTCCTCCAAGACCCAGTTACAGTAAGATAAAATGAATTTCTAAAGCAGCCGTCTTTAGTGTTGTCACCCAACGCTCATGAAAGAGGAACCTTGCCATGCATAACAACACTAAAACCGGCTGTGTAGCAGACTAATGGAGAAGTAAATGTAATCATGAATTGAAATTCTAGACCTGGACTTGTCTGTTTACCACGGAGCGAGCAACTTTCTTGTTCATCTCAAAATATATTCCAACCCCCGCCCAGCCCTTGCCTTGCCCTTGCCCAACCCACGTTCTATAGAACCCGGCTGCGAAGGCCTGGGAAAATTATTCAGACGAGACGAGCAGTACTGGTAACTAAAACCCTTGTGCGTTTTGGTTTTGTTGCCACAGCAACGATTAAGACGATTACGGTCGGCCATATTGAGACGTCGAAGGAAAGCTCTCGGAGATTCGACTGACTTGTGTGTATTTTTTATTTTGTTAAAACACTGTGTACATTTAACGCCGTCTAAACAATGTCAGCAGGATTAGAAAACCTTGATCAGCAGCCAAAAGTAAGTAAATTTACTTTGAACGTGTAGTCAATTTAGATCGATGCAGAGAAAATCGAGCATCACGCTTGTTCTTAATTCCATTTTCAAAGATCGATTAATAAAATGGTGAAAAACTTAAGAATTTGTGCCCAAAAGTTATAACAGCAGTTCAGTTATTTTATTATTGGTAATCAGTAATAGTTTGTACTTGAGTAAAATACTTCAACAAACCTTTACTCGCACAGAGTACAACCGGTTACATCATGGGTATTGAATCTTTGCCTGAAATACCAGCATATAAGCTTACTTAGTGCAGATATATCAAGGGCCAGATAAAAAAGTAGGGGCTTTGAAATTTTTTAATTTTCTGTCAAAGGGTCAGGTATATGTTCAAGACACTATGTTCCAACTGTTCATGTCACCAGAGAAAACAGAATGCAGTAACTAAGTGGAACGGGGGGGGGGGTCAGTTGCCAATTTGACCATTTTAACCTGAGGATGGTGGCTGAATAGGGGTCATAACACACTCATCGTTTCCACCTACAGTTACAGATAAGCAAACCTGTTTGCCACAAAGTTTTGTAAAGTTATACTGGCAGCTTTTGTTTCCCAGGGTATGTGAAAGTGGCATCATTTTTTTTCCTGGTCCTAGACATTTCGCTGATGTATTAGAGTTAGCAGCGGTCCATACCCTGCATGTTAACAGTATATCTGTCAAGGTCTCTGACATTATTCCTCTCAAATTAATTCAGGGCCATGGCTAGCATGCACAAGCTGACCATCCAGCAGACAGCTGCTGTCAGTCTCCAGTTGTCTGCTTACAAGAGTTTCATTAACCTTTTATGTTGTTGTTTCATTACAGGACAGTGATAAGGTTCAACAGTCTGTAGAAGGTGCTGGTGCAGCAGATGACTTTGAGAAGACCAAACCAGGCAAAGGTGCCATTACTTCTGACTATTACCGCACTTTCAACATTCCTGAGCGGTTTGATAATCCGGGTATGTCTCATTCTTTCTTACAGATAACACTGTAATTAATAACCCTGGAAACCCTGTTTTCTCCTGTCCTACGGAAGCTTATAATCTTCCAGTTACAGAACGCCAGGATGAAGGTAGGCCATAGACTTGGTTGAGGAGTGGGCCGGGCTCATTGTTGATATGAAAACAAAAAGGTTTTTTCAATTTGATAACACTGAGGTTTTTTTTTTTAGTTAAAAGAAATATTTTGAGGACAAAAATACAAGTAAATTTGTATTTAATTGAATTATTTGCATAATGAACACTGGAAATGAAAAAATGATAAATTTCATAAATTCATAATTCTGTACCTAAGACGCCCTGCCAGGAGGGTCCCGTGTCACCCGTCTGAATTTTAAAACGCCTCGTGTCAGTGCTTGTAAATGCTTGTCCTCGCTTATAAATGCAGGGCCTCTACCTAGCCACCTGCCAAAAATTATGGAGAGCACTCTCCATTAAATGAGTGACTGTAAGTATTGTATAGTCAGTTGGTGAAGATTTTGTACACTATACTCACTTTTAAAGAAGCAAGTGGGTGAGTCCTAAATGAAATCCCACCATAATGAGTTAAACTGTAAGTTAAAAAGGTATCCAAGGTGATGTAGAATGCATAAGTACTTAATGATTGTATTTACACTGTAACTCTCTTTCTAGTAAAGATTGTAGCCTCATTCCAGATGTTAATTCTTAGGTCACTTTCTTTCTTTCTTGCTTGGAAGAATCTGCAGATCTGTTGTTGTAAGGTTTTGCTGTTATCTTTTCTGTCGAAACTGTTCTCATAGGCTACATTTAGAACTACACTTCATTCCACTGGATACACTGTATTTGTTATACATGTATATTATACTGCTTAACTGTACTGATTTAAGACTGTTCTCTAATCAGATTGGTTTCAGGGTTACAGCACAAAGAAACAAAACCCTATGTACATGACAAGTGCGATGGATTATGGGTAAGCAGCATAAATTTTGGCCATTATGCTAATTACCAACAAATACCCACTCTTGTTAAACCAGTGTGTAAAAAGAGCAATAAAGTATCTGTAAAGAAGTCATCAAATACAACCAGTTTTAGTTTAAAGTAATGCGTCAAATCCTGGAAAGCTGATTGAAAGTTACCTTCCTGTCAGGGCCCATCAAAATGATTCAGATTAGGATCAGAAATGCCCCTAGAGGTACCAGAATTTTGTCTTGAGAGTGTGGCTCCAATTCATTATTTTTCTCAACAAAATAACTAGCATTTACATTTTCTTTAAAGGTATCTTCAGCACAATGAAAGCATAAAAGAACTTAACTGGTGTTTATAACTAAAGATTTCTTTCATCTTGCAGGAGCCATCGTCCTACCGTGCACACTATGCCGACAAGTTTTCATGCAAAAGTCCAGAAATTTAGTGAACATTTAGGGACATGTGGAATGTACAGAAATCAAGGCCTCAATACAGCATTGGACAAAAGCATTGTGTAAATCTAGATACATGTAGGGACTTTTGAAAAATGTAAATAAGCTTCTATTTGAAATGAGAATGTAATCCTCTCGTATATTTGTATATATTATTTAATTTGCTTTGAGCTATTACTACCAGACAGGTAGTTCCACAAGCTGACAACTGCATGTTTTTCAAACTACTTTTATGTTGTTTTTTTTTCTGTATACTTTAACAAATTAGATAAAGTTATTTTACTTGTCTTGTTTGTATATTTTGTGTCCTTATGAAATAATTATCGTCCCTGGCAGTACCATTCTTATATCTTGTTTTCCTGACCAAAAGGTTGCTGGTGTTTTTAAACCCGTTCGCCCCTGATGAACCATCCGTAACCACTTGTGTGGAATCACACCCCTTTTACTGCTTGTGACCTCATCAGATTTAATGCTCAAGGACAACTTTGTCATCTATCTTATGCAAGGGGGAGAGATCTTTGGAACCATACCAGAATGAGCACAATTCAGTCAAGGATGCTGGAGAGAAACATTTGACCCGACAATTCCCCTGAAAATCTTGTTCCACTACTCATCTAACTTTCCTTCCATGCAATCCTATAATCTTTCCCAATACCTTTTTCACCAAAATGAAGCCTAGTTAATACCCAGTAAAAGAAAAAATGAGTCAAGAGGGAAAAATAACGTTAGAACAAAAAAAATGTAGGGATGATCACTAATAGACAGCTGAGAGTTAAAGTATGATGCTGTAATAGTAGGTAGATTTAGTACTCCATTTTCTTGCAGGGAACAACACTTTATTGTCTCATTTATTAACAACGAAACTTGTGTTTTAAATTTCCTGTATAGCTGTCCTTCATAAGTAAGGTTTATGAGCTTGAAAGTTTGTTTGTGATACTGTACTTCTATGAACAAGCATTAGCTGTAATTTCTTTTATGTACATTTGGGACCTTGTCAGAACTCAGTAGGCACTAAACAAAAGATTTAACAGGAATGACCTGAAATGGCTAATCAAGCATTGGACTTGTCTGGAGCTTAAAATTAAAAACTACTGTGGGATGGTTTCCTTGGTACATACAGTGTATGAATAGTAAATGTATGAATCTTTTAGTATCTGCATTTATCTTTATCAAAAATAGTGAAAATGCTATAGTAAGAGCCTTGCTTGGGTGACTTGGTAACATGTATAATTTTTATGAAGCAATGAAGGAAAAACATCAGAACATAAACATTACTGAGAAAATCAAGCTTTAAACATGTAGTTCTGAAAGTGGAGAGATTTTATGCTGCTCTATAGCTAATTAGGATGACAATCCCTTTGATAAATTTCTGGAAAATAATGGCTGACTGATCCTGTGTACAGCTGATGAATACTGCTCAGCTTAGGTAACACAACAGCAGTGGATTATCAGTTAAACAGTCTTCTTTCAAACACAATCCTGACCAAATTTTAATTTTAGCCTTCCTCATTGCCAGGCTCAGGTTCATCGCCATCACTGTCTTGTGACTTCTCTGTTAGAATTACATATTCCCTCGTTGAAAAACCAAATTTTAGAACATCCTGACAAAACAATAAAGCAGAAATAAACTTCTACCAAGAAAGAATTTTAGCTGCAATAAAGTTCATTTGGTGACAATTAAAACTTATTTTCTTCAATCTCAAGGATGTCCCTAAGAGCTGGCTGCCAGCTTATTTCACCAACTCCTGCTTGACTGACAAAAAAGCCTACTCAGCTTTTCCTTGGCTACATCCCTGCAATCTGAAGGTTAATATTATTTTCACTGATGAGGAAGTTGGAGTTGTCATCACCACCCCCCCCCCCCCCCCTTAGAGTTGTGAGAGCATGTACGCAGAGAGAAATTCAAAAGCTCAATAGCATCAAAATCACAAGAATGAAGAGAATGTTTTGTGTTTACTTCTGACTTTCAAGTTAGAAACATACTGACCTTTTCTTTCAATTCATAGAATCGTCTGGGTTCTACTCTTTGGTTGTTTAGATAAGTTCCATTTATAGACTCCAAGTCAATAATATAGGGCCTGGAGTTAATATCATATAGTCAAAAGTTAGATACTGCATAATTCATAGTTATAGCTTCTCATCTTTTAACACAAAATCAAGTTGTCTTCCATGTTTAAAACTAACTGCAACCAAAAGAATAAATAAACCAGGATCGCGCTCGTTAACAAAAAAATCAATTCTGACTGTGTATAATATTTTATTCTGTAAATATGTGTTGCAAGAGTGATTTCCATTTGACCTTGAAAAATGGTTTCTCAATGTGTTTGTTATTTTGTTTTATAATATGGCTGGAATAAGTTATTAACTAATAAAAAGGTATATAAAAATAAGTTTAAATAAGTTTAAAAGGTCAAAACACAGTTTTGTTGTTTTGGAAGGAAAAAGTGACATAAAAGATTAATGTCCAGTTGACACTGGCCCAGTTTATATTTTCCAAACTAACTGAAAATTACTTCACAGTAGGTAATTTTTTTCAGCTTGAAATGCCTTGTGTGCTTATGATAACCATACCAAAAGCTGCATGCTTTTATGTCTGTCTCATAATCAAATTTTTCAATCTTGTTTGTTTGTTAAGTTGCTGTTTTAGTTTAGTTCCTGTGTTATCATTTTAAAGTCCAGGAAATCATACCTTGCGAGCAGAGGCTACATTTTTGCGATATGAGCTGGCATGTGAAATCAGACACCAGCTCATACCGCAAAAATGTAGCCTCTGCTCGCAGGGTAGGGAAATCACTCTATCATGAAAAGAGGCACAGCATAAGACCAACAGTTAATGAATGTCCTATACTCTTACAGCATATCTTTATCTATGCTTAGTATGTTATGAATAACTGCTTACTTCACTTTTCTTCCAACAGTTCCATCTGTCTTTGTATGATCAACTAGTCTGTACTGTAAAACTGCATGTTGTTTTGAGCATGATGGATGGTCAATTGCAATATCCACTATCTGCAAATAATATCATGCAGGAAGGAACTACATTAGTTAATATTGTTCCAACACCCTTTCAACTAATCCTGCAGTTTGAGGAAAAATTTTACATTTGGTTCAGTTATGAAGTACAGAGCTGCATAGATCATGCCTATCAGGCTGCCAAATATGAACAAACTTAGCTTGGGTTACTTTGATCATATTCTCACCTCAGTTAGTTAAGTTTAAGCTTGGGATAACCTTAGATTGATAACAAAATTAGTACAACCTTAACATAAAAACTAAGGTTCAAACAAATTGACCTAGGCTGAAAACAAAATTGACCAAATTAAAGGAGACAAAGAAACTCAGCAACACAAACAAGACAAACAACCTTCACTTTTCAAATGGGTAATATTACATTTTGTTCTTGTAAGTTGGTTTTCTTTTTAATGTACACGTCATGTTTGTACATACATGTCTTTGTCTCCCCAGCAAGTAAGCACTTTGGCGATGGATGTACATAACAGCTGCAAGAAGGAAAAGTTGTAGGACAAAATGAAATTCAGGATGAAATAGTTTCAACCTACTGTATGTTGGTTGATTCTCAATATCCTGTTTCTCCTTGCCCTAATATTAATTACTCACAATCATGAATAATATTAGGGTTAGGAAATTAAGGAAGATAAGAATAACTAATTATTGACTTTTGAGAACCATCATTTGCTGCAGTTGTATATTAAATTTCTTCATCATTAAAATACATTTTTTTCTCTGGTTGATGAAAACCAACAATAGTTGCCAAATACTAGAGTTTTATTAGACCAAATTGTCCAACATACATTGCCAATGGACTATAAAGGACTGATGTAAGTGGTTGCTTCTCTCTTCCCTTAGGATGGCTTTTTTAGTTCATGGAGGTTGGGCTACTCACACATTGCTTCCTCCCCTTTAAATGGATATAGTCGCCATCTTGTTTTAGGCTTCCGTGCCTCTGGGGGCTCATTGTATTTGATAACAACTCCCTACAAACAAGACAAAAATAAACTACATCTCATGACATGGCCTACATTATGCATAATGTTAATGGTCTTGCAGTGAGAGCTTCATGGTTGTCCTGTGTGCATAGCTAACATTTGCTGCACTATTATTGGCAGAAATACATGCATGTAGGTCCCGCCTAAGACATCAGAACTATGAACTTTTGGTATACCTTGTATGTGTTTGTATATTCTGTTAATTTTCCAGACAGATTGTAATTTGGACCATCTACATTCTGTTCAGCCCTGAAATAAAATAAAGAGATAACTATGAAGAATGGTTTGACTGTTTGAGCAAACATTGGAGTTTGCAGTGCTAGAGAATTAAACAGTAATACATGTACTGTGCTCCATATTTTTCCTTAGTATTACCCAATCTTAATTTGCAGTACTTAGTATTCTTCGAGTCTACAGGATGCAATGTTTATTAAAGGCATTTTCAGTTGATTTCTAATTTTTGTCTTCTGATATTCTTTTGGAAAATTATGGTTTGCAGTGCTTAATACTGTCTTCCAATCTTCAAATTATCCAGTTCCCTCCTGAATTAGCTGATCCCTACTCACAAAATTAATGTAGAGGAATAAGAAACAATTCAGGAAATGAAAACTGCAAAATTAATAATGGATAATACTTACGTTTCAGACTGACTGTTTTGCTCACTTCTCTGATGATGCAATCTGTCATCTTCACAGCAAGAGATAAAGTATTAGTGATTAAAAAAACATATTATTTTCTCCATTATTTGCATTATTTAAAGATAATAATTCGACTGAACCTTAAAAATACCGGTAAGCAGGATAGTTTGTGCTCATATTGAATTGAAAAGCACAATGGTTCAGGCAATGTCAGAACATGACAACAGCTAGATCGAACATAAACAGTGCACAAACTTCTATACTGGTAAGTTGCATTACCTATTAACTTAAAAATGTAACTATACTGTGTTTGGTATCCATACTAGTGACAAAGTCAACAAATAAATAGTAATTTCCTTTGTTTCATGATTAATAATGTGTTTAGTAGCAAACGTATGTATGTATGAATAAAAGATTTAAAACATTTAAAATACTGAAATATATTATTATCACAACCTCTGTGTGGACTTTCTCTTTGACTTCTTTCTCTATCTGGTCTATCCCTTCTTCTTTCCTGTGATGATGTATTCTGTTCAGGAAAAAGAATAACATTCTAAGTCCTTTGTAACTTAAACATTCACTAGGTCTTTTTCACATGAAAATACTACAGTCACACCTGTATATAGTGGTTATCCTGTGTATTACATTAACAAAAAATTACTGGACAACTTCCCAAACTTTCAGTTGCCTTATATTTTCTGCAAAGTTGACCTGTATATAGCGGTCACCCTGTATATAACAGTCACCTAGCCTCCCTGCAGACGTCCTTTGGGGTCCGTGGGGGAGAAATGAATGCGTGACAAAGGAACCCCAAAGGACGTCCGCGGGGAGGCTAACAGTCACCTTGCCATTTCCCGAGGGTGACCGTTGTACACAGGTTTGACTTTATTGTGGATTAGACCAACAATGCAACATGGAAGTGCTTACTTGTTCTTTCCTAAATGCCTGTTGATGCCTTCTTTCCTGATGGCTACTTGTTGATGGCTGCTTTGACCTTCTAAATAAACAGGCAACCAATTTCATTATATATTATGCTTTTCAGTCAGTAACACAAAGGAGTAGAACCTACATGTATAAACACTACATGTATGAACAATACAATACAGTACTTATTTACCCACGCTACATTTACTAGGAGTGATAAAAACTCATTAAAACATGTGCATTAAAACATGGTTGTAGGACATATAGGTCATGTAGATGTAGGTTTGTTGGGAGTACTCATAGTTTTCCTTTGAGCTGCCTGTGCACAAATCAAAACATTGGACCCTTAACATGATGTACGTGTAGATCACAACATTTCAACTGCTTACTGCTAGTCTTCATCAGAACACGACGTGGATTGGTCGTGTGTGACCTTAGAGTGAAGAGTGTTGGTGTCTCAATTACCGATTGCATAATGAACTGTCATGTACAGTGTACAGGTGATATTCCAAGGAATATACAGTAGATAGAGAACAGCTACCAAAAGCAGCACACTCTTGCCCGAGTTCAATTAACACTCCAGCAGAGATATGACAAAGTGAATGGATGGGTTGAAACAAGCCTAATTATTAGAAATTAGCTTTAAACCAACAAGCGTATCTGTACTTTTTAATTTCATGCATTTAATGAACTTTCTCTCACTCATGATAAATTATGTTGATATGTCATAGCAACGTTTTAGAAGCCGGCAGTCACCTTGTGGGGTCATGATTACGCGGTAACTTATCTTAAGAACAAGAAAATGTTAAGAACGGTTTAGATGTAACTGGTAAAAGATGAAACGACAGATAGAATTAAGCTTACCATTCTTTACCCTGTAACAACTGTCAGCAACTGTTAATGCCCTTGATTGTCAGAGGGTTTCAGAAAGCAGAAAGGTACTTTTGAGGCCTACCTGCCATAATCTCCTTCACTTTCACGGTGTCTTCTCCTACGGTGATCATGGTAACCTTCTTCCCTCCGTTGAGGGGATCTTGAACGATCTCTTCTTCTACGATTCGGACTCACCATACTCTGAATAATCACAAGGGTTCGTCTTCCTCAGGAACTGCTCCATTTACAGCACACTGGTCTGTACTCTTCAAGGGAAATCCGCTGTCAGTTTGCAGGCTCCTATTTTCTTTGTCACCGCTCCACTCGGTGTTGGAGAAGTGAGTGAATGAACTCCATGTGACACGGAAAAGAAAAGAGAAATATCCTTCGTTGATTTACGCTGTTTTGTGGAATAAACACCTAGCTGTGGTTTCCAGGCGGTTATTTGCAAGAAACAGGCACGAGTAACTGGTAAAGTTCAGCGCAAATGACAAATAAGCGTAAGCGCGTTAGTGGAGGCGCTTCCAATGTTGGTACGAAAAGCAATGATAACACAGCTGAAAGCAGCTCAGAAGGACATGATAAAAAGAGAAGAAAACGTTCCACATCACCAAATACGGATCCCGTAAGTACAATGATTTCAATTACTGGTTTTATGCGCTTTTATCAGCTGTTAACCCGCGTGCATGAATAATTTGAATGTCACGGGCTTGTTAACAGTTAAGCTTAATTACATTCGTACACTTATGATTGGAGGGGCATACATTTTACATATACCTTACGATAACTAGCTTAATCAAAGATAAAAGTATTTAAGTTTTGGTTTACTTTTTTCACGAAGTATTTTGATAACAATGCTCAATATGTAAAAGTTGACATACACTGTAAAGTATATTTCGGCCATCATGAATCCCTAGAGGATTAATTTAGTCCAGTTCTGTGGATTGCGTTACAGCGTGCTATCAAACCTCTGGAGATTTCTTTGTAACACTTGCATTTAATATATAACAATATTGTCAAGTAAGGCTGAGTATGAGGTGAAGAATTATATATGTAGGTCCTGAAGAATGTTGTCCACTGAGGCCAAAGGTTGATGTGGACGACAGACTCCAAGATCTGCATAACGCACCTATCAATGTTAATTTTGAGGTGGGGGAGTGGGGTGGTGGTGGAAGGAGTTGGGTAAAGGCTGGGGATTTGATCTCAAAGCTTTGTTTTGGGTCAAATGCCCGAGGGACATCATAGATCATCATATTTGGTGGAAAGAGAACAAATTCCCCACCCCTCCAATTTCGGTAAGACTGGAGGTCAGAGGTGTTTCACTGAAAGTAGCAACATACCAACACTCTCTCTTTTCTAAGAGGTATATTTTATTAATTTGTTGAAAAATTTAGAAAATTGTGAACTTAAGCCAAAATTTATGCACTGAACTTTTCAGTGGGCAGATAGATGAGATAAAAAAAATGAGCATTTTGAGACTCCCAATTAAAGTTTTTATTTTATTTTCAAAATATAAGCCAAAAGGGGGCCTAACATATTGACCACTGCATGTAACTGTGACATACAACAATATTATTTGTTTCATTGTTTTGTTACAAGGCTGATATATGTGCGGAACTGTATGAGACCATCAGAAGTTATAGGGATGAAGAGGGCAGGATTCTTTGTGAATCTTTTATTCGTGCTCCAAAAAGAAGGTTTGTTGATTGCTTCCTTTTATCAGCACCATAATAATTATTATACTTTAAGGTGGTACAGATAAGTATTAAACAAAAAAACAGAAAATTTCCTTGTATTTTTCATAATCACAGATTGCAGATTCAGGAAGGTTTTGCAAAAGGTTAAATTAGAATGTTTTTGTTAGTTTGTAACGTAACTATTTTGTCTGCAAGTAATTTTTAGATCGTCAGATTTTACTGAGGCCTTCTTGATACATGTTTATTTCTCTGACTGTGGGTTTAGTTGTGCATTTTCAACATTGCTGTCTGAAATTTCCATCAAACAAGTAATTATTTTTACAAATGGTGCTTTTTTGTGTAAGTTCCTTTTTTTCATGGATCCATGCCTGCGTAAAGATATGTATTTTTCATTTTTTTATTGTGTAGGAACAGTCCAGAGTACTATGATGTCATTTCTACTCCAATAGATTTGTTGAAGATTCAGGTAAATTGAATGTTAAGGCACTTGAATTTTCTTATAAGGTGCCAGGACAGTATGCTGTGATTGACAGAAAATCTATTTTCCAGAAGTTTTGATTTGGAAGGTCATGTTGCCCTTGTTAATAATGTTAATCTATGTTGACATTGCTTTTAATCAGCAACGGCTGAAAACAGATGAATATGAGGACATTGAGACATTCAGCACTGATGTGTATTTACTGTTTGACAATGCTATCAAGTTCTATCAATCTGATGTACAAGAACACAAAGATGCTATTAAACTAAAAGAGGTGTATGAAGCTGCAAAAGCCAGGCTCTGTTCTCAGTTAGATGAACAAAGTATGTAGCTCTCATTGATCTGTTAATTATGCATATATGTACAGTTTTTATAATAGGCTGATTCAGCAACTGACTGGGAACATCATTTGACAACGGGAAAGTGCGTGGAAAAGACTAAACTCAACTTCTGTTGCCCAATTTGCTGCTCTGCTATTGGCCAAGCCAGTTGTTTGATTTGCGTGCCCGGTCGTCAACTGACGTTCCTTCTGTTGCTAAATCAGCCTAATGAGGCTAGAGAAAAAATAATTGAGTTTGAAGGTATTTTTATATGGTGACTGAACATTTTTTTGCAAGGATGTAGCTGATGAAAAGCCAAATATGCTTGTTTATTACTCTATCTGGCTTTTTATGTTCATCTTTAAAAATTACTGTATTTCTTCACCTATAAGCCAAGCGATTTTTTCGGTTTTTGACACAGAATAAATACAGTTGCTGGTTGCATGGTAGTATTAATACACTTCATTGGACCAATTTATTGATATTCACATCTCTTCATGGGGTTTGTTTTTTTCTTTTGTGTCTGTGTTTTTTTAATTCATTAGGTTTTGTGTTTAGTGAGCCATTTTCCGATGTTTTCTGCAAGATTCGCTCACTCAAATGGCCTGCTACAATCAAGAATCTCAGTCTCGGCTTATAGCCGATGGTTTTACCCTTTTTTGGCAGCATAAGTCTATTGGAAGGTGTCTCGGCTGATAGCTGAGAGCATTTTATAGGTGAAGAAATACAATGCATACCCCAAATGATGTCTTTGTTTTCCAGTGCAATTTGAGCTTGGTCTTGCAGTAAGGTCAAAATCTAAAGCTTTAGGGTCAGTGGTAATTAACCTTTGACAAATGGGATGTTCAAAGCTTACAGCTTTTTTCTTTTTTGTTTTGTTCCAGGAGGAGGCAGGGGAATGTCATTTGAGGAAAGCATGGTACAGTAGATGCTGTTTATTTTAAGTCAAAACAAGAGCACTCTTAAAAAAGTGTTAAGTCGAGCTTGTTGCTTGGAGATTAGATAGCAAATAAGGAGGTGTTTAATTCTGCATGAGGCAGGATTTCTTCTCTAAAAGTTTTTAACGTCCTCCTTTATCGACGGTTGAGTATTCTTCAGGATGTTTACTTTTACATGGTATTCCACGATTTGCTTCTGAATTGATATAGTATGGTTGTAATATTATTTCATGAAATTCACAGGCCTCAATTCAAGAGAAATTAAATCATTCCTAAAGAGCAAAAATGTGATGAACATGACAGGTCATTTCAATCATTGCCGGAAAAAAACTGCATGCTCATCTCAAGACTCTTTTACCTACAATGAACAAAGTTTACAACACCCGACCATTTAGCCTCACCATCTTAGTTTTGCTGAACTTTTACTCAAAAAGATTCTTTTTTTTCCCGACCACTGAAGTATTCACTTGTTCTAAAGTAATCGACACTTTCAAGCGATAGAATTTATAGACCGACCCATTCCAGAAAAGCTCGACATCTTTTGAATAATTATGTTGTTGGTCACATCATGATATTTATGTCCAGTTTCTATGGTCTCCACTAGGAACGCCTGGGACCATGACTTTTCTAGTGATGCGCACACAGGGAAAAAAGAGAAATGTTTACATCTCAGAGTCTCGCTGTTAAAGCAAGCTCAACTAAGGAGTTTTATGGAAATGGTCTCTTTTCATTAGTGAACAATAAGAAATTAAAAAGCAACTGAAATTGAAAGTTGAAGACATAGTCGGAAAATACTTGTGACATATATTAAATTATTGAGCTTAGGAATAATACATTACCTGATGAGGCATGGGGGTAGCTACCTGTATGCATGGTACACACGTGCATACCTGAAAAGGTCAAGGGTAAAAAAAATTAAATGAAATGAATAAAATAAAAAAGAGAGTAATTAAAAAAGAGAGTGTAAAAATTAAAACAACAACGACAATATATTGCCTCAATTCCGTTTAACTCTATTTGATTCGTTGGAGTATTTTTCGTAAAACAATGGACTGTTTGTTTTTTTTGACACCCGAAAGTCAGTTTTCAAAACAAAAGACTCTTTTGCGCATCCTCAGAAAGTCGGTTTTTGTTTGAATCTTGAATGATATACTTAAAGATGCGTGCAGACAGCAAGCAGGATGGTATAAAACGTGAACAAGTTATTTCACCCAGGCCTGTCTTCGCAGTAGACAAAGGAGAGCATGACTACGTCCATGTGAGTGCTTCTGCCAGTCAAACTTGGAGTTGGGGGGAGGGGGAGGGAGATTTGAAAAATTGTGCATACCTCTGGAAAAATCTTGGCTACACACCTGTAAGGTCATGTGTAGTAATACTAACATACATTTCATTGTGTTAATATTTTCATTGTTAGCTTGAGTAAGTGCTAATAAAGATTGTTGTTGTTGTTGATGTTGGAAAGTAAATTTACCACATACAGTGTAGCAGTTGTGCTTACTTATCAGTGCTTAAGATGTGCCAGAGTTTTCTAAGCTTAAAAGTTTTGACAGACATTGAGTGTTGGGAAATTCTCCTCTTGTTTGAACCAAATGCCAGTTGCTTAAATGTTGCATCTAGTAATTCACTTCTTTAAACCTTTAGATGAAAATGCATGGCACCTTTGGTGCCATTGTCATCCAGAGTAGACTCTAAACAGTGTCAAAAATTTATAATTGCAGGAAGATGATGATGATGAGGAGGAGAATGAGGATGAAGGTGATGATGCTGATAGTGTGAGAGGTGATAAGACTGTTAAAGGAACAAGTCTTGGGAAAAGTACAAGTGCAGAGAGAAAGCAAGCTTCTTTTTCTGTAGCGGCAGCGGGTGAGTGATGATTACTGTGTCTATATCATTCACAGTAATCCTTAAAGTGGAAAGCATGTGGGCCTAATAGATAGTGTGCTGGACTCCAGATTAAGAGAGTTGGGTCACTGTAATTTCTGCTTGGGCAAGACACTTTACTGTTACAGTGCCTCAGTCCACCCACACCTTAATATTGTTAAAAACGTTGGATAGCACTATCCACCGGATAAATCAAGGGAAAGATAATTCAATTCATAAGGGAAACCAATGTCATTGCATTATCAACGGGTAAGAGATTTATCTGATGAATAGTGTTATCCATTTCAAAAGTAGGTTGAGTTTGATCGTCCGGGTGAACGTAGTCCTGAATGGGACTGAAGATGACTATCGCACAGGTTGTCGAAACGTCAGTCACTGTCAACAACAACAGTCCTATTCAGGGCTATGTTCATCCAGACGATCAAACTCAACCTACATTTGAAATGACTCCTGGGTTCAAACCTTTCACAGTGTTAGCCATCTTTTGGACAACTGGGGCCAGGTGTATGAATAGATATGGGCAGAATTAGCCCTACGGGGTAACCCTTTTGAAGGACTGGCATTCCTTCCAGAGGGGAGTAGAATCATTCCTAGCCACTTTGTGTTACACATGCACTTGAGCTTTTTATGAGAGACCAGTAGCTATTGTCTGTCATAAGTAATCCATGTATGGGTATCTGTAACAAGGTCTTTAGTTTCAACCACAACCATGTTTCTTGTCCTTTATTTTCTGTTTAGATGATGATGATGATAATGAGTCTACCTCCACTCGAGATGATGAAGAGGGTGATTCTGTTTCTAATGTTCTGCTTTATTGTGGTGAGCTTATTAGTGCAGTGCTGGAGATGAAGGACAGCCATGGACGAGTTATCTGCCAACTTTTTAAAAAGATACCACCGCAAAGTGTAAGTTCTAAACAATGTTGTGCCTTGAACAGAATAGACAACTTGCGTAAGTGGTCCCTATAAAAGTATTTGAATTACGGGAACACATGTAAGATAGCTTAAGCCTTGCGTTGTAGATTTTTCCAAAACCTCAAGTTGTTTCTTCTTTTTTGGGATTACAGTAAGGTTAAAATGACTCCATAAGTAATGTTTTGACTTGCTTGGCTGACCTTCTCCAGGAAAGTTTGTTTTTCCTGAAGAAGGGCGGGGCACTGAAAAGTGGTGTCCCATAACCCAGAGCTGCCTTGGTAGTAGGGTGACCCATTGGGCTACATGTAGCATGTTTCAATTACGAATTGTCTGATGGGAAAGCAAAATTTGCCAAAATAAAATATAAATGTTAAGGGATTTGTCAGGCCTGCACAACTGCTCAGGGCTAGTAAAACTTCAGCAACAGTGATAATTTTTTAATTTCTTTTCTCCTTGAAGAGAATCAAAGTAGTCAATGTGTTGATTTGGAGTTGTTTTTACCTCAGTGTAATCCCAAAAAAGAAAAAAATCTTTGATTTTGGAAATGAGAGTTGGAACTTTCCAAGATACAGTTGACAGTTGTCTGTCACATGCTTGAAAAAGGCTCCACTGACATAGTTTGGTAAAGCACAACTACATGATATGTATGTAGTGATACTTTGGTATGGATGTAAAGATATATATACACTTCACACTTTGTTTTGCATTGACATTTTTCTCGATGATAAGAAACTGAAGAGCTGGATGGGAGTAACTGTGTTTTTTTTTCTATTAACAGCTTTATCCAGAATATTATGAAATCATCAAAGAACCTATTGACTTGAAAACTGTGTGCACAAAACTAAGGGTAAGTTAATGAAATTACTTATGAAGAAGTTAATTGATGTCTTAAGGAAATTTAAGTGTCATTTTGGTACCATTTTAAGCAGGTTGTTTCTCTTTCTTGGTAGGCCATGCAACTATGTACACCATATGGCTACTAATAAAAAAGATTTTTGTCTGGTGGTTGTATAAATAATTTGTACATACAGTAATAATTATTATTATTGTATGTATAGTATTGGACTGAAATTTCAGGTGCGGGAAAATCGCCCTTCTGTGTGATAATAGAATATCGTCATTTAATACAGTGTAGACATTTGCATGGATTCTTTGTAACATTTTAAATATTCCAAGATGTGGGAGACCTTCATAGTAGATGTTCAAGCAAACTTAAAATGTTTATTTGTGTTGGATGTGCTTCTAAACAAAATTATTGTCAACCATTGATGATAAAAATCATAGAATATTAAGTAGAATGTGTTTTGTTTTCAGAATAACCAATACACTTCTCTGGAGGAAGCTGAGAGAGACTTGCTGTTAATGGTAAAAAATGCCCATGCCTTCAATGAACCAGGCTCTCAAGTCTATAAGGTTTGTTATTATAGATAAATTTATTATTCAGAATTCCACTTCTGACAAGAGAAGAAATTAATAGTATTACTGTTTTATGCAGAGTGAAAGAGATATACAGATTGCTGTACATGTACATCTTATACAAGCTGTGTACTTGCATTAATGGCACACATAACGTCTGTAACACTTTCCTTATATGCTTGTACATGTTTAATTTGTACTGTTCAAGTCTTTTTTTTTTCATGTAAAGTGGCACTAGTATGCAGCCAATCATTCTAATTGTTTGTCTAAGAGTCAAAATATTGGAATAAAAGAAGAAGAACAAGGAGTTCAAGCAGTGAAAAGTAGATTTCAAGAGCACAATAATATTGTCAATGACCAGAAGGACATATGTGCTCTAAAATTATTACATGAATCTGCTTGTTAATGGCTTGTAAACATAGCAGTGTAATTTCACTACCATACATTTTTAGCCATAATAAATTATATTTTTTCACCCAGTAAAGCAAATTGCTATCCTCATCACTTTGAAATGAAAGCTGGTAGAATGACTGTGAAAAAGTCTCTAGAGATGAAACTCTTTCTCACCAACTGTTTTTTTTCAGGATGCAACTGCTATAAAGAAGACTATTCATACAAAGAAAGCTGAGATAGATCATGTACTAATGGGTGCCAAGTCAAGCAAAAGATTGAAGTAAGTTTGTGTTTAGTTTAAGGCTGTAGATCAGAGTTGTTGTCGCCTGTATGCGGTATCCACTTTTCTGCCATTACCTATCCACCCTTGCTTTTTTTATTGCTCTTTTTTCAACTTAAGAGTGCCAAGTGTCATGTTGGGCACCATGCAGCTTGTTGCAGGTCTTATCAATCCCCCCCACCCCCCTCTTCCATTGGTGACTTGACTTCTAGGGTAACTGATCTAATTATTTCATTTGTAGAGCACGTCGTAGTTCTGGTAAAATGAGCACAGCTGTAACAGCACTGTTAAATGAAATAGAAGAATATGGAGAAGAGGGTCTTGACATGCCACAAGAAGAGGCTGAGTTTTACCCAGATGACAGTGTACATGGTCAGTTGATTAATCCTACACTCCTCTCACTACCACTGATTCTTAAGCAGAAGCATGGGGTTATAGAGAGGCTCTATTGTCTTGATTATTTTCAATTTTTCCTTTGATTTTTCTTATATTAATGTCTTACTTTTTGTTACTTTTAGGAGATGAAGAAAGTGTTGGAGGTGCAGATGCAGACAATCCTCTGATGATGTTATTCAATGAAGTACACCACTTCACTGATCCAACTGGGCGGGCTTTGTCAGAACCTTTTCTCAGATTGCCATCTAGGAGGTTTGTTTTGTTTTCTTTTTTTTGTTAATATATACAGAATTTTTAAAATCTGATTACATTTATTTTTGTAAGTATTTCACCTTCATGCAAAACCAATGCAAAGTAAGTTTAAGATCAAACCAGTGAACTACAATGTAGCTATTGTCACACACATCTGATCTAATATTGTTGTCAGAGTCACCTAATTGTTGAATTTTGCAGGTGATGTTATCTCTTTCACTTGCTTTACCATTGAGCCTTTTTCACTGATTTGTCTTATTTTTATGTTCAACTCAGAGCATACCCTGATTATTATGAAGTTATCAAGCAGCCCATTGCCTTATCCAAAATCAGGTCTCAGATAAAGGTAAGAAAAATCAAACCATAGCTGCCTGCAGTTACAGTTTGTAGGTCAGCCCTATAACCAAAGAAGGTTATTTACTGTTTACCATGCATTTATCTTTAGACTGGCCAGTATGAAAGCCTTGAAGAATTGGAGAAAGATATGGATTTGTGCTTTCAAAATGCCCAAACGTACAATGAGCCCAACTCAATGCTTTACAAGGTATAATATTAACTGCGTAAAATTTTGTCTTATTATAAAACTTGAAATGTTTTTTTGTCTTCCAAATAATTAGTGCAACAATAACTCTGAGGTATACATTCTTAGTACGTTAGTAATTCTGTGCATTGTTTAAGTGTTCTCTCCCCACCCCTCCCCCTCCTCTCCACCATAGTCTAATCACCCCACCCAATTTGTAACCTTGATTTTGTTTTACAGGATGCTCATAGAATGCAAGAACACATGAAGAAAAAGAAAGCAGAAGTGATGAAATACATGGAAGAGAAAGGAATTTCTTTGGAGGAATACAAGGTAGTGATTAAGCGTCTTTATGCTAGTAACTTCTAGTGATGTCAACTGTCAAGTGATAGTCTAGTCGTTTTCGAAGACAAGAAAATGCAGATGAAGAGTATATAAAATGAAAGAGAATAAGGGTTTGTCAATGTCACTGTCACACAGATGAGGTGAAAGCCCTCGGAGGGTGGTTACTTGCAAGGTTCTCTTGAAAAATAGTATACTGTAAGCTAAAAATAGTATCACTGAATTTTTCTGCTGTGGTTATAACAAGTAATTTTGTCTCATAAGTGATTACGTTTAACTGATGAAGGAAAAATGTCTGTACTGTTCCCTTTTTTCATGTTTATTTTAGAGAAAAAAGAAACCCAAAAAAATGGAAACTGAACCATCAGCCGCAAAAGAGGAAGCTAGTGCCAGTGTTGTTTACAGAAAACCAAGAACTGAAGTCAGAAAACCCAAGAAGACCAAAAAGACAGAAGAAGTTGATCCTATTGTGCTGAGGAAGAGGATGCGCCAGCTTTATAAAGCTGTGGTAAACTATCAGGTAATGGGAAACACATGTCAGCTTTATAATTTGGTTTCTCTGTCAGTAGCTCAGTTATCATTATTTCATGGTTAATTGCTTCTGAACAGGGCTGTCACTAAGATTTCAAGTTGTCTGATATAATTATGCATTTAGTAGGCAGGACATTGAACAGCTAGAAAGTTCCTTAATTGGTTCTACATAGTTTTCAATATTTCCTTTTTTTCTCAGTGGTCCGAACATATCTATCTTTGTGGTTTTGTGGCTTTGTGTGTTCGTATCTGTGTTGCAGGGTGATGCGCCAGTAAGCTTAAGGTTGGAGGTACTATGAGTTGATGCTCGGAACCAATGAGAATGTGGCATCTAAACATAATATTTCTAAAGGTCAAACAAATGCACTTTGAGACTGCCTTTTTGGTTCTTCACAATTTTTTCGTCTTTTATTACAGCTAAAGGTGTTTACAAGCATAACATTTAAATATCTTTATGATTCAAACACTGCATACAATGATACAGATGTTTAAGAGTTTATATTTTAGTATGGGTGCTGCTTCAAGACATTTATAACCTAATTCGGCTTTCTTGAATGGTACAACGTATGTACTTTGTTCCAGATTGAAAATCGCAAATCATGTAGTCTGACGCCAGTGGCACATGTGTATCTGATTTAGGATGAAAAGGGTAGATTCTTGGTCGGGTTACACTGAGGCTTTCAAAATAGCTCATGCATATTAAAAGTGCCTAGTATGTTGTTCTTTATGAAATTAGCTGGGGGTCGTGTTTATAGGAGCCAGGGGAGTCCCCCAGCCCTTACTGACAGCCCTGAGGAACAATGCAAATGGCAATTAATAAAGAAACCCTTTAAATCCTTGTAGGATGAAAACGGAAGATACCTTTCGGCAATATTTGTGGAACTTCCTTCAGCACAGGTTTGGTGCTTTTCAGTTGTGTTTTTATACTTAGCCTATCCGTAGCTGTTTGAAACTAACCGCTGAAAGTGAAACTGATTGGTGGTGACTTATTTATACAACCATGTTCTTTAACTAGGATTACCCAGATTACTATCAAGTGATATCTGAACCTGTCTGCTTGAGCCAGATTGAGAACAACATCAGAGACAACAAGGTAATTGATTGTTATGCTGTGGGATCTACAGTAGCTTGAGAAAACAGCTGACATTTGGTGATGCTACCACAGGTTTCCCTGCCAAATGACTTCTGAGAAATGAGCGCCGAAATTCCATACTGATGACGCGTCACTACCCAGATCTGGGTGGTGTTTCTGATTGGTTAGCAGCATGGGAAATTTGATTCAACTAATCAGAAGCACTACCCAGAACTGGGTAATGATGCGTCATCAGTATGGAATTTCTGCATTCGTTTCTGAGACGTCATTTGGCGGAGAAACCAGTGGTAGCATTGCCAAATGTCAGTTGTTTTCTCAGGCTAGATCTACAGATGTATTTATAAGTATGAATTCATGCCTACTATAGATATTTTTAAGGGAATAAAGTGGACAAATCTTTACATGTAGATGTGCTTCATTTGTAGCTTTGAACAATTTTTACATTCAAGTGGACCTTGATAATGAAACAAAAAAAATTACTTGTTTAGAAAATTTTAAACACTCTGTTAGATTTTATGCATTGTAATTTTTTAAGTGCTATTAGTAGTTTTGAATCCTTTTTTAGCTTTTGTATTTTTAATTCTTTGTTATGTAAATAGTTTTTATTACTTTTAAATTTTTCACACGACCATATCAGCATTGCTGTAATCTTATTGTGTATAAATAAATGCTTTACTTACTTACTTACCTATTAAATCCAGATTTATGATAGTCATCATTATGGTCCTTAATAGTTTAGGGCTGGATAACATTTACTTGCCTCTTGTTTTGTGAACTTATACCAATGACACAATGTTTTTTTTATTTATTTCTGTATTCATCGCCACAGTATTCTGGTGAGGAGGATCTGATGCTAGATTTTGAAGTTATGTTTGACAATGCCAGATATTATAATGAAGAGGCATCTCAAGTCTTCCAGGTTCAGTCCTCATCTTACTGATTCTTTTACTTTAGATTTTCATTAAATTGTTATTACTTGGAAAGTCCACTGCTAGGTAACTCTACCTATTTTGATAAATGAGCTTTAAGTGCTAATGTCATCCCCCAAAAGTCTTGGTTTTCCTTTCACAAGAGAGAAAACATAACTAGGCATTGATCATGCTGTTTACACATTTTTGGACATTAATTTCATGCTATTCAAGACATATGTTGTTTTACATTCTGTAAAATGTTATGAAGTAATAGTAAAAGATTATTATGAAGATGGTAAATGATGGTGCCAAATATCTGGCAACTTTGGTTGTGAAATTGTTATCCTATTGCAGGTCTGATCTTTTGTCTTGTGTTATATAGGATGCCTGTACTCTGGAGAAAGTGTTGAGGAAGAAAAGAAAATCACTTGGTCCAGTTTACCCAGGTTTTTATACATTATAACATTGTCTGATTATGTGTATGTCTGTCAGTATCATAACATTTCCCTTGTAAACTGGATTATTCTTGATTATTTGCTGACTGGGGATCTGCAATGTAATTGACGTGGTTTTTCAACAGTTACTTCAACAGAGGGAGGCACATCAGCTGGTCAGACAGTACCTGCCAAACAAGCAACACCCACAAAGTCTGGCAGAATATCGTAAGTTGCACCTACCTTACATTAGGTTTTGTTCATTACTTGCATGGGGGAAACTGGAGATAATTTCTGAAAAATACTAAAAGTAATATGGTTTGTTCCATTCCATTTGGGAAGGTTATGTAAGCAGTTTGTTCTCCCCTTAGGTCAAGTTTAAAAAAATTTGTCAGACACTAACTGACTGATTGTTTGATTATTTGATTGTTTTATTATCTTATAGCACATCATTCGTTTTGAAAAGTTATTGTCAGGTTATATAACCTAATGATTGTCTTGTTAAGTGCAAATTTGAGGGTAGTGTTAGACTCAAGTGCAAAGGAAGTGATGTTGTAATTTGCACCAGACAATGGTCAGTGGGAACAGACTGCCTTCTGTTTAATACCACTCCACTTGGCTGAAGACTACTACTATTGTATCTGATCCTCTTGTGCAAACATTTCTAAATGTCTTTACTGTGTTTATTATTGGTAAGAGTCACATTGAAGAAGTATCCAGCACAGCAAATTTTTGTTGTATAAACATATCCACCCAAGCCCACTATTGTAGGCCTACATTGTTATCATGTTGGAAATTTTTTGTAGATCTTCACCTGTGTCAGCTAAGAAGTACAGCCATGTACCGTCAGCAACAAATGAGTTAAAAGAGCTCTGTCGAGAACTGTTTAATGCTGTTAAAGACTGCACTGTAAGTTATTTTCGTTTGTTGAATCATCGTTTTCCTTATCATCAATGATTGGGGTTATCAAGCAAATATTTTGACTTCAGAAAATTGCGTTAAAGCATTCCCTTCAAATGGTTACATTAATTATTTTAGTGTGTTAGTAAATGTTACAGGTACATTGTACAGTGTCTAGATCTCTTAACTTAATATGCTTGTTATGATATGTTGCTGTTGTTGTTACTCTTAGGACAGCCATGGAAGACAACTTTGTCTCATTTTCCAGAAGCTGCCTTCAAGAGTGGTGAGTAAACTGGGAAATGTACTTTGTCAGGAAATAAATGAACAACTCACTTTTGGGCTGGATCCCAGGGCTGTCAAAACGTTTTTAAGTGGCCCGGCTGATGATGAATAGTAGGCAGCTTTGGAACTGGCACCAAAGGCACAAGTTCTTGAGGGCCAAAGCATCTACGGACATTTTGGAATTTCGAGTCTTGGAAATGCCATCTCCAGGGGTTTGAAGACGTATTTCTCAACCGCAGATGCCTTGTTGCTTCGTCAGAATACACGCAAGACTGGGAACAATGCCGTCAAAATGTCCCAGACATTTCACGACACCACATGGTTCGAACGTTTCACAGATCTAAACCTGTTTAATTATGCACTCAATGTCATTCATCATCATTATTCAATGGTACTTTTTTTGTTAGCAGTGATGGTAGAAGGAGATGAAAGTAGCTGGCTAAGGATAACTAACTAGCCAGCGGTTTTGACCGGCTACCGGCCCTTAATGACAGCCCCGAGATCCTCAGAACCTGGGTGATTAAACTTAAAGTAATATAGCTTCCTTATCAGGCAAGCAGATTTTGTTTCAGTTAATGGCTACAATTTTTTGTGTTTTATTTGTTTATTTATTTAATTATTCATTTTTTCAGGAATACCCAGACTATTACACACTGATAAAGAAGCCAATAGACATGTCCAAGATAAACACTAAACTGTATGGAGATCAGTACCAGACCTTGGATGATTTCATGTCAGACTTTCAACTCATGTTTGATAATGCTTGTCGATATAATGAGCCTGACTCACAGGTTTATAAGGTACAGTGATCAGTTCATAAAATATTGTGACTATCTTATTTTCCAAAATAAGACTGACAACTTTTTACACTTTTTTGGGAGCAAGGGTGGCACAGTGGTGACAGCACTCACCTACCACCTTTGGTTCAAATCCAGGGGTCAACACCACATGTGCTCCCAGAGGTTTTTCTTGGGGCCTCCGATTTTTCCGCTCTCCTTAAACACCAACCCTTTTAAAATGATTCCAATTCGATCTAGAACACAGACAAATTTCAACGAAATCTTAAGGACTCCTAGGTGCTCCATTGGTAAACAAATTGCAATTTACAATACATTTCTTTTGTCATCAAAAGCCTTCGTCAAAAGAGACCCAAAGTGACTTTTGGTTCTTCTTGTAAGTAGCATTCAGACTCATCAGTGAATAATCAAGAGATGATTACTGCTAATACTCAGTAGGTAAATTTATCCATGACTGATCAATGCTACACAAAATTTAAAGACTGCGTCAGCATTAGCCAGCTAGGGATTTCCCAGGTAAAGGAAACACATATCACTAGGGATATATGTGTTTCCAAGGTGGGGGAACATGTATCACTAGGCATATGTGTTTCCCAGGTGGGGGAACACATATCACTAGGGATATGTGTTTCCCACGTAGGGGAACACATATTACTAGGGATATGTGTTTCCCAGGTGGGGGAACACATATCACTAGGGATATGTGTTTCCCAGGTGGAGGAACACATATCACTAGGGATATGTGTTTCCCAGGTCGGGGAACACATATCACTAGGGTTATGTGTTTCCCAGGTGGGGAAACACATATCACTAGGGATATGTGTTTCCAGGTATCACTAGGGATATGTGTTTCCCAGGTGGAGGAACACATCTCACTAGGGATATGTGTTTCCCAGGTCAGGGAACACATATCACTAGGGTTATGTGTTTCCCAGGTGGGGGAACACATATCACAAGGGATATAATATGTTTCCCAGGTGGGGGAACACATATGACTAGGGATATGTGTTTCCCAGGTGGGGGAACACATATCACTAGGGATATGTGTTTCCCACGTAGGGGAACACATATTACTAGGGATATGTGTTTCCCAGGTGGGGAAACACATATGACTAGGGATATGTGTTTCCCAGGTGGGGGAACACATATCACTAGGGATATGTGTTTCCCACGTTGGGGAACACATATCACTAGGGATATGTGTTTCCCAGGTGGGGGAACACATATCACTAGGGATATGTGTTTCCCAGGTGGAGGAACACATATCACTAGGGATATGTGTTTCCCGGGTGGGGGAACACATATCACAAGGGTTATGTGTTTCCCAGGTGGGGGAACATATATCACTAAGGATATGTGTTTCCCAGGTGGGGGAACACATATCACCAGGGATATGTGTTTCCCAGGTGGGGGAACACATATCACTAGGGATATGTGTTTCCCAGGTGGAGGAACACATCTCACTAGGGATATGTGTTTCCCAGGTCGGGGAACACATATCACCAGGGTTATGTGTTTCCCAGGTGGGGGAACACACATCACTAGGGATATGTGTTTCCCACGTGGCGGAACACGTATCACAAGGGATATGTGTTTCCCAGGTGGGGGAACACATATCACTAGGGATATGTGTTTCCCACGTGGCGGAACACGTATCACTAGGGATAAATTATGTGTTTCTCAGGTGGGGTTAACCCATGGTTTTGGTCCAAAAATGGCCATTTTTCCAAATTTTTTTTTTTAGGCTATATAGGCCATGAAAATGTCTTTTATGATATTCTAGAACGAAAAAACGCCTTTCGAGGCTATGAAAACAAGAAGTTCAAAAAGTCCAAAAATTAACCTTTTTCCAAACGGGTTAACCCATGGTGTTGGTCCAAAAATGGCCATTTTTCCTACTTTTTTTTTTTACGCTATATAGGCCATGAAAATGTCTTTTATGATATTCTAGAACGAAAAAACGCCTTTCTAGGCTATAAAAACAAGAAGCTCAAAAAGTTGAAAAATTGACATTTTTCCAAAGGGGTTAACCCATGGTTTTGGTCCAAAAATGGCCATTTTTCCAAATTTTTTTTTTTAGGCATGATAGACCAGGAAAATGTCTTTTATGATATTCTAGAACGAAAAAACGCCTTTCTAGGCTGTAAAAACAAGAAGTTGAAAAGTCGAAATATTGACATTTTTCCAAACGGGTTGACCCATGGTTTTGGTCCCAAAATGGCCATTTTTCCAACTTTTTTTTTTAGGCAATGTAGCCCAGGAAAATGTCTAGGGATATGTGTTTCTCAGGTGGAAGAAAACACATATCACTAGGGTTATGTGTTTCCCAGGTGTTAGAACACATATCACTAGGGTTATGTGTTTCCCAGGTTGGGGGACACATATCACTAGGGTTATGTGTTTCCCTCGTAGGGGAACGTATATCACTAGGGATATGTGTGTCCCAGGTCGGGGAACACATATCACTAGGGTTATGTGTTTCCCAGGTGGAGGAACACATATCGCCAGGGATATGTGTTTCCTAGTTGGGGGAACAGATATCGCTAGGGATATGTTTTTCCTAGGTGGGGGAACACATATCACTAGGGATGTCTGTTTCCCACGTGGGGGAACACATATCACTAGGGATATGTGTTTCCCAGGTGGGGGAACGCATATCACTAGGGATATGTGTTTCCCACGTAGAGGAACACATATCACTAGGAATAGGTGTTTTCCAGGTGCGGGAACACATATCTCTAGCGATATGTGTTTCCCAGGTGGGGGAAGACATATGACTAGGGATGTGTGTTTTCAAGGTGGGGGAACACATATCACTAGGGATATCTGTTTCCTACGTAGGGGAAAAACATGTCACTAGGAATATGTGTTTCCCAGGTGGGGGAACACATATCACTAGGGATATGTGTTTCGCAGGTGTTGAAACACATATCACTAGGGATATGTGTTTCGCAGGTGTTGAAACACATATCACTAGGGATATGTGTTTCCCAGGTGGGGGATCAGATATCACTAGGGATATGTGTTTCCCAGGTGGGGGAACACATATCACTAGGGATATGTGTTTCCCAGGTGGGGGAACACATATCACTAGGGAAATGTGATTCAGAAGGATATGTGTTTTCCAGGGGGAAACACATCATCAGATATATGGATATGTGTTTCTTGGGATATGGGGGGGAACACATATCACTAGGGATATGTGTTTCTCAGGGATATGTGTTTCCCAGGGGGGAACACATATCAGTTAGATATGTTTTTGGGGAACACATATCACTAGGGATATGTGTTTCCCAGGCCAGGTGTGTTTCTCAGGTGGGGGGAACACATATCACAAGGGGAACACATATCAGTTAGATATGTTTTTGCCAGGTAGGGGAACACATATCACAAGGTATACGTGTTTCCAAGGTGGGGGAACACATATCAGAAGGGATATGTGTTTTCCAGGTAGGGGAACACATATCACTACTAGGTATATGTGTTTTTTAGTTAGGGGAATACGTATCACTTGGGATATGTGTTTCCCAGGTGCGGGAACACATATCACTAGGGATATGTGTTTCCCAGGTGGGGGAACACATATCACGAGGGATATGTGTTAATATTTGATGTGTATTAGATTTCCAAAAAGATAACGTTATTGTACATGCATAGTTTAGGCTTTTAGTTTTGTACCAAGACTGTAATTTAATCAGTTTAAGCTTTTTCTTCTTATCCCCCATTTGTAAATTAACGTCAGAACTGGTGTACTTAAAGTTGTTTTAATTAAGGAGTAATTTTATGTTTTCTTTTTTTGATGGGTAGTGTTTGGATTGCTGTTTGATTTTTTGCAGGATTCTTTAAGTCTTGCAAGAGAACTTTTGAGGAAGAAAGCAGAGCTTGTTGGTAAGTTATTTAACACATAAAATTATAGTAGGCAAGTCCTCTGAGCAAGAATAGGAATGCTGATTATGAAAGATTATAGGGGAATTTGTTATCTCTATTTATAGTTAGACAATGTAAGTAAATATTTGTGGGGAAGTGATGTTATAATTTGCGCCAGACAATGGTCAGTGGGAACAGACTGCCTTCTGTTTAATACCACTCCACTTGGCTGAAGACTATTACTTCTGTATCTGATCCTCAAAATCGATAACCAGAGTTAATACCATCAACTGAACTTTGACTCTGAAGGTGACTACCATACTGGTTGTCATCAGTCACTGTCAACAAGAGTCCTATTCAGGATTATGATCACCCGGACGATCATACTTCACCTACAATGAATGTTACCAGTCCTTGATAAGGATCTCTCGATGTGAACACTAGTAACATTTCTTTGGTATGCTCACAATTATCCTTGCCATATTGTAACGTTTTGATAATTTTTTTTACTCTTTATGCCTTCTGTAGAGTGACAAATGTACTTTTTATGTAATTAACAGTCCAGTTAGCTGGATTAAGGCATGATTTGTAGATTTTCTCCTTTCTGATCAGGTGAAGAGAGCAAAGTGCCCAACATGCAGGATATAGTTCGCAAACTTCTCAATGCACTCTACCAGTCTATTATGAATCACGTGGTAAGATGTATTTTTAATTGAAGGCCTGTGACATGAAACTGCCTTCAAAAAATTCACGCAAAATACCATTGAAGTTTTCCAGGTACTTGTTGGACCTATTTGTCAGAAAAGAAAAATGCTCTGATTAGAATTGAAGGACACTTTTGATTTCGAGAATAATGACAGTGTATTTAACATCAAGTCACACTGAATAAAGACCAACACCCAAGGCATTTGACCTTGTTGGACCTGCAAAGAATTCTGTAACTTAAACAACAATAACAACAAAACTATTGTGTATCTTGACCAAAAACTTTTTCTTCTCTTCAGCTAGAAGGTGACCAGAAAATGGCTTGACTAACTTGAAACAGCACCAGCATTTTGAACAAAATCTCCAAGGTTTAATGAGTTAATTGATGGTATCTTTCCAATCTCAAATCAACAACATCATCTAAAAATAATGTCTTCATTTATTACATTGGAGTTTTTCTTTTTTTGAATAATGATCCGTTGTTAATGTCTGGTCTGTTGTGTTGCTTTAAGGATGAGGAAGGGCGCTGTTTTAGTGATTCATTAACAGAATTATCTGTTCTTCAAGGAGGTGGTAGCAAGTATGTACATTGTCTTTCAGACATTTATTCATGTTTTCAAAAACCTTGCTCTGTAACTCAGATAACATTGACGTAATTACATCAGTATTTATCAGTTTTCTAATTGCACCGTGTTTAATGTACAATGTCATTTATCCTATAACTCTAGACGCTTGTCACTGATCAGTATCGGAGAAGCGCTCCGAAAGGTACGGGAAAGAATCTGCTTCTAAATTATCCACGTTATTGAACTTTTATGGTTCATTCACACAAAATGAAGGATTTAGAATTCACTTATGTATTTCTTTTCCAGGGCCAATACCGCAGGCTGGACAGATTTCAAGAAGACGTTTTTGCAGTTTTGGAGAAAGCCAGGGAAATAAGTCGGTCAGATTCTGAGGTGAGTTGGCAATAGTTATTGACACCCATGGTTAACAACAACAAGTGGTAACAATGTTATTACTGATAGAGATTGAAATTCCTATTCACGTTATTTGTGTTAGACAATGATACAGCAACCTTGTTCCCAGGTTTAGAGAACTCTGGGAACGAGTTTGATGATACAGCTGCCATAAAACCAATATTTTGAAAAAGTTGTTGTCACTCTACCAGCTGATGGCATAAAAATAATCAAGATATTGAGTGTGTGTGTATTAACGCTATTATGATGTCATGTGAAGTAATTTTCAACAGAAGTAATATCAAGTTTGATTTTTCCTAGATGTATGATGATGCTGTTGAGTTACAGCAGTTGTTTCTGAGCCAAAGGGACAAACTTTGTAAAGATGGTGAGAGGTTTGTGTCTCCAGCTCTTGTTATCATCAAAAGACACTTGTCACAGGAGCTGGATGAGGAAAGAAAAACCAAAGCTGAAGCAGAGGCTAAAGAAGATGCCAAGCAACAGGCCACACAGCAGACACAGGTGATCAGTAAAGACATGTTTTATTTATGGCCTTTCAGAATAAGGTTTTCTCTGCTTAAAACATTTGTCTTAGAAGGAGTGACATTTGGTGGATGCCTGACGTGCAGGGCAGGCATTTTTGGAGGGAGGGGGGAGTGAGCACTAGTATTCACTAGAGTGTCTTTTGCCTCTGTCACATGTTCAGCTCTCCCCAATCTTTCTCTACCTTTAAAATCAAAGATGATGACCATACACAGGAAAAGTCCAAAAAAAAAATTACTTAGCACCCTGTTGCTTGAAGAATAGGCGAATACGTTTAATGAAAACTACTGATTACTGAAAGCACAACTGATTGGGATAGGGGTACAAAAAGAGAAATTACGAGATGATAGGGGCAGTTCCTTAAACTGTAATAACAATTATAGCTGTGTTGAAGGAGTAATATGCTTCAAATCATGTTACAGGTACCAGTCAGTGATGATGCATGTCAGCAGGAGATGACCTACAGAGAATTTCAAATCCATGTTGGGGATTTTGTCCTTGTAGAACCAAGGTAATTACTCTTAGTTTAAACAAATCTTCAGAGGAATGGTCAAGTGATGAGCAATCTTGGCAGCCATGGCCTCATAACACTTCAGTAGAATTATTACTGTAGTAGGTTAAATCCATTCTCAGACTAAACTAGACGTGAGTATACATTGTTTTATTTAGGTTTTCCTTGTCTCATGGCCCTAAAATTGACCGAAGAAAACTACGGTTTAACCTTGGAACAGATTTTGTGACAACATAACCATTTCCTGGCATGACCACTGGAGGGGAAACTGGGGCCAAAGGAAGCTGGAAACATGTACACATCACTCAATCCAAAAGATTATGAAACCCTTTAGCTCTTTAACCTGTCGAGGTCACATTGTCAATGTGGCATAACTTTAAAAATTTTTTTGAGATACTCCTTATGATTGACGCTAACAACTCTACAAATTTCTCAGTTTAATGAGTATTTCTTCATCTTCCAGGGAAGAGAAACTCCAGCCGCATGTTGTGTGTGTTGAGAAACTTTATAAGGATGACAGTGGTGAACAGGTAAAGAATTGTTCCAAGTCTCTTGGGATAAACTAGGAATATATTATAACAGGCTTTTCCTTCTCTGTTTTTGTTAGAGACTGACGTGAATTAATTATTCGTTTCTTGCTCTCTGTCGTTATGATATATTCCTACTAATTCACAATACACACTGTATTATGCAATGCTCATATATTTCACGGGACTTCCAGCTTGGGGATTTTTAAACACTTCTTTTCAATCTTGGTACTCTGAAAAATTCTGGAGTGCTTATATAACACAACAATAAAAAAGTGCTTGATGTGATTGATGTGCTTGATGTGCTTGACTTTAACTATCTCTCCATCATCAGTGGCTGTTTGGGACCTGGTTCTATCGACCTGAGGAAACATTCCACACTGCCACCAGGAAATTCTTAGAAAAGGTAAGAGCACCTCTATGCAGGCTGCTTCATGTACCAACAGTATTTTGTACCAATGATTTTAATGGCGAGTTCTTTCAAATTCTTGTCACTGGGGTGATAATAGCCTCCCACACAGACATTCTTAGGGCTTCGTCCCATGTTCCTGCCCTTGGAACTTCTAAATGGGTGACTAGCTAGGGTGATTACAGACAAACTATAATACTATGATGCCATTGTTATTTGCCCTTTCAGGAATTGTTTAAGAGTGACTACTGTGCATCTTCTAAACTGAGTCAAGTGATGGGGAAATGCCATGTCATGTTTGTTAAAGACTACTTCAAACAAAAACCCGAGGTATAATTCTGTTGGTATTATAATTTTGTGAGAGAAGGCCACAAACAGCACTTATCAAGGGAAAGGCTTATCAATGTAGCTTCTGTACAGTATTGGAATCTTTTGTCAACAAACGAAGATCTCAATATCAATGATACGTGTATGAGAATATACCGGGCAGTAAATATCTAGAATTATGTCTATAAGTGAAGTAGCTGTTTCTTTTACATCACAACAACACCAATTAAAAGGAGCTCTCATTTATTTTTTTATAGTTTATTGTTATGTGTCATTTCTTTTGCAGAACTTCAAAGATGAGGACGTGTTTGTGTGTGAATCAAGGTACAATGTGAAGACGAAGACTTTCAAGAAGACAAAGGTAAAAGTCTCTTCTGTACAGCTTCTGTATTCTGTCTCTTGTCTCATGGCCTTGGAAACTTTTTATCATCAGTAAGACCCGTTACTGACTGAGTCACAGAGCTGGAATGGTTAACATGTTTCATTACACAGATTAATCATGATTTAGCTTCAGTTTCTAATTTTGTGTTCTTTTTTAAGGTTTGGTCTGTTCCTCGATCAAATGTCACTCTTGTTACCAGAGAAGAACCTTTACAACCCAAGCGAGTGCCCTCTGTTTTTGCTGATAACAAAGAAAACAGAGTGCAGCCAATGGAAACTGAAGTGGAGGGTCAAATTCATGAGGATGTGAAGAAGGTGAGCATGGTTTAAACACTCCAGTCCTAAGGTTAAACATTTAAGTAAACTCTGAGTTTGTAAAAAATGAAAAGCCGGGGTTTACCTCCAAAATATACATGCTGTCGTTCAATTTTTTTTCCTGTAATGCAAATTATATTTTCATACATTGCCATCTGATAAAAGAAAACAAAGGAGCATAAAATTTTTAGCAAAGGTAAGATTAAACAAAAAAACATGCATTAATTCATCAAACCTTCCAGCTACTTATCTTTTCTTCTGCTCCCCTCTTCTTCGTCTGTTTCTTTCCTGTTTCCTCTTTTCTTCATTCGTCGTTTCTTTTCGTCATTTATTTATTTATTTATTGCCAACAAGGCAGCCGAGCTAAGAAGCGAGGTTGACTCGGCGGCAGAATTATAACGCCGCGCAATGTAGGCAAAAACTCTCAAATTCTGCGTAACCCTCTAAAATTTGCATTTTTGACCATATTTGGGTGTAAGTAAGACGCCATATTTGGGTAGTGACATCATGGTCTTGTATTTACAACACGTGGTTCAAGATTGGGTGATTCACTGTGCAGCTGTTCGTTGTCTGTTCAAGAGGGCCCAACTGGTGAGCAAGCTTTAATACGATTTCTGGTTTGAAAGGGCAATTAGTGCTCTGGTTTGCTTTATAAATTGTGTTTAAAGCAGCAGCTGATCAAGGAATAGGGTTTTACGGTCAAATTTTTGTCAGAACTAGCTTGTTCTTTGCAGCGCTATTTACGCTGAGGTAGCGTGTTCGCTTCTCGACTCAGAACCAGGGTTTTCAGTGTTCTCTTTTCCTTTGTGAATTGAATTTTAAGCGGTAGTTGATCAAGGCATAGGGTTATATTCTCAAAACTTATATCAGAACCAGCATGGTCGATTTACATTGAGCCAGTCCTCACCTTCCGTGAGGAATGCAACGTATTTGCGGACCTTTTTTTTAGAATTTATTTATGTCTTTCGAGAGATTTTGTCAACCAGCATGTTTTTTTGCTGCTCGATTTGCATTGAGACAGCCCAAAACTCCTGTGAGGAATGCAACGAATTTGCGGACCTTTTGTTTTGAACACTATCATTATGCCTTTCAAGACACTCTTTGTCCTGTGACACTCGCTCATTAGATCTTTGTATTTTATTGAAGTTTATATTTTTATACCTCTGACACATTCCGCCCTATTCTTGTGCGCTTTTCACACATTTTACTTTACACCATATCTTTTCTTATGTATATTACCATGCGAAATACTTTTCTTATCCCTGATGACGCTGTTGCTCGGAATTTAATTATTATTTTTAATTTCAGCAGTCAAAGGCCTCATTTGAACTATATTTTTCTTTCTAGCGTTTATAGCTTTGATACAACGGAATTTTCCATGAAACATAAGTGCTAACTTGCTCATATTTACCAACAAAGCTTCAAGCCATGTTGTTATTGTTTAATAAAAGTGAAAGCCTAGAATGTGCCAAAGTTGTTGTTTTGAAGTTGAGTGCCATCCTTTTCTATAGCGGAATCCATTTTAAACCTCTAAAATTTAGAAAAAAAAAATATCTCGAAGATCTGAATAGGCACATTCTACAAAAGATAAACGAATTGGCCTCGTTGGCACTTGCCGCCGGAAGGTACCCCTAGTATATTTAATTAACCTCCTTCTCTTGCCTGTGATCTGAGTTCCCCACAAATGTCTGCGACAAGGATGACCATTAATGCGTTACTTTTAATAGCAGAGAAATTTACTTCTATGCCTGAGTGCTTTTTGTTTAACTAGAATGTTATCCTGGAGTCACCTCAAAATGCAGAGGAGGGATGTACATACTACGAACAGTTTTGTGTCAGGGATACTCCTTATAAACTTGGTGAGTAGTCAGTTTTTTGCATTTTTTCCCTAACTTTATTCACTCTTTAATGTCTCTCCCAGGTATGTACATATGAAACTGTGTTAGCCTTAAGACATTTAAAAATATTTTTTGTCGTCATGACAGTCATGAGTTCATGTGAGTCATTCACACCTTGTAAGGTAATCCAAGACAGTCTCGGTTTCCATGTGCTAAGTACTGGATTCCTTGAGCTGAATTCCGGATTCCAAAGCAAAGGATTCCAGATTCTGGAAAAATTAGTGGCTTCCGGAATCTGTCTTACCTTATATGGGGTAAATTAATGCTCAATTTGTGAGCAACATTAGTAACAACAAGGCTGCAGTGATAAGTTACAAACTCGTTTTTGTCCTTCTCAGGTGACTGCATATATGTAAGGTCAGATGAGGGTTATTTGTGTATGGCCAGGATTGATAAATTATGGACAGATAGAAGGTATGTAATGACCTATATGTCCAGCAAAGTCTGTTGTGAACACAAAACCTGTGCTGGCATAATCGTGCTGGTTGGTGTAACAAGTGTAATGAGCACTCCTTAACTTTTCTCTGTTATTGATTTTTGTACCTTTCCACGATCCATCACGCAGTCTCTATGAAACTTGAGGATAAAAAGAGACATAAGAATAAAATATTTGTTTCATTTTAGCGGTCAAACGTGGTTCCATGGTCCATGGTTTATAAGTCCAGCCGACACTCAGCATCTTCCTAGCAGAATGTTTTATGAAAAAGAAGTATTTCTGAGTTCTCTGGAGGAAACCATGCCTGTTGCAAGCATTGCGGGCAAATGCTGTGTTCTGCCATTCAGGGAATATGTCAGATGTAAGATTATTTCTTGCTTTCTTTCTTTGCTTTATGTAACTGGGGAATTAAGGATCAATTATTGTTAGAATGATGTTTTATTAGTCCCAGTTCAGACGCCGTACTTTTCATGTGCTGAGCCTAATTCGAATTAGGGCCGAGCGACCCAAATTATTTAGATTGGCTGAATGATTCAGACGCCGATCATAATTCCACCAAGTGAGTCCTTTGAAGAAGTACAACAAAATGATAAGTTTTTGCATCACTGGAAACTTGGAAAAATAATCCGAGCCCCAGATAGGATTCGAACCCACAATCCTCCGTGATCTAGTCGGATGTTCTAACCACTGAGGTACTGGATACTCGACCAAGAGCAGTCACATAGTCAAACCAGGACAAGCACGTATGACTCATAACTGCATCACGTAGTCACATTAAGGCATATCGTACATGCAATCATCTAACCACCAAGTGAGTCTTTTTGTAGAAGTACAACAAGATGATACGTTTTTGCATCAAATGGAAATTAAAAATCAATTTCAGCCGAACAAAATTCAAAAGCAGAAAAATGCTCGTTTCGGTCAAAGTGCTTGCAAAAGACGTTATTATAATTTGTGCATTAGGTTCGGGACATGAAAAGTTCAACGTCTGAATCAAAGCTATTCCAAAGTCGCTCTAAAGGCGGAATTCCTGGGCGAGCTAGGCGTGAAAAACGGCTGAGCTTTTCCATATTGAAGTAGGCGTTCCTAATTGATTCAGAAGTCAAACTTTTCATTAAAATTCAGTGTATTAGGTTCTGCTCGTGAAAAGGTCGGCGTCTGAACCGGACCTTAGCATGAGCAATCGGTGTCGTGGTGATAACTGAAAAGCAGAGATTAACTGTATCCTCCCTGCATTCGTTCAATGTACAGAGGGTCTCTTTCACACATCATGGATTGATTCCGTCATTCACTGACGGACGGACTGACTGACTGACCCAAATAATGAGATTAACGTAGTGGTTTTGTTGCTGACAGGTCGCCCTACAGAGATACCTGAGAAAGACATTTACCTCAATGAAGCTCGCTATGATGAAGAGGAGGGACAGTTCCGAAAACTGAAAGGATTAAAGGTGCTTTGAAGTTTGACGGAAATATATTCATGAATAAATTACTCGTGAACAAATGAATGAATAGGCTGTTCAGTCGAAAATGTTTGGTTTTACCAGAAGAGTGGATCTGGCTCAAAAATTGTTGTCGTCAAACAGGCAAACAAGGTAGTGAGGTTAATTCAAAATTGGTTATCATAGGGGGTTTCAAAAATTGTCGTTTTGGAAAAGCAGTAATCATTTTTCAAAGCAAATCGCGCTAACACCTTTCGTCCGTAACCTTCCCTCGCACGCTTCTACACCACAGCACTTTGGGTCAAAGAAAAAAATCTAGACTTGCAGGAAAATTTTATCACGAATAGTGGTTTGACTTCTTTTCTGTTATTTTAATCTACTAGTTACGTTTTTCTACTTATTCCCTCGTTTATAGCGTTACACCCTGACTGTCACTGTGCAAGAGGATGAATACTATTTCTTTGAAAAACCAATCACACCAGGAAAGGTTAGTACCTCAGTAAACGGTACAGATCGAATTATTGGGTTAGTGATTAATGGCCCACTTATGGAATTTTTTTTAAATTTAAATTAACTTGTTTGTTAACGATGGCTTTTATAGGCGCCGTCTCCTCTGTTGATTGAAGACATGGATCAGTTAGAAGATGAACGTAGTCATTCTCCTGCTCTGAGCTCTGCTGATGGTGCAACTGGTGATAGCAGCAAAGTAAGTCTTTTCATATTTATATTTATTTCGTACCTTGATCTTGAAGCCTTAATAGTAACCAGCAACTAGTTTGCTATTACCACTTAAACCCCCTGTTAAACTGTTGAGATTTGGTGAGATCATACTTGTCAATCGGTCACAACGTCTCCTTGCCAGATGACCTTGTACCTCTGGGAAGACCTCACGGGATTGGTTGGGAAAACAATGAACAAACAAAGTTAACAATGGAACCGAGCCCGAAAACAAAAGATCTGCGACCCATAGCAGTACAATGAAATAAGAGGTTCTAAAGAGCTGCAAGGCTACTGGGGAAGATCATTAATAGCTGTAAAATAGCTGAAAATTCAGATTTTTAAACTTCTTAACGTGGACAAAATCATAGCGGTTATGTGCACAATATAAGCAGTTGCAAAAAAGAAAGCATTTAAATGTGGTACATTTGAACGCTCTTCTTTAAAACTAGACGCGGCGTAACTTGCATTTCATTTCGTTTCCATTTTAGAAGGTGAAGAAGCCACGAAGTCAGTCAGGTTACCTTGTGTTCTCTCATGAGATGAGAGCCTCCATTAGAAAGGAACATCCAGAGTATGCATTTGGTGAAATAAGTCGCATCATTGGAGTTGAGGTAATCCCCACAACAGCCTAAACTGTCATGCGTAAAAAGTACCTTAATACCCTTTAATGTAGATGCAAGCGCATTTCTATTCCAGGCTCCTTTGTATCAATGAAAAAGGCACTTGACTTTGTTTTAGCTATTAAGCATTGCGGCGTTGGGTGCCAATTTGCTGAGAATGCATAAACAATGACCCTGAAGACTAGAACAGATTTCCTTTACGTGCCACGCATTTTTCAGCGTCGAAGAATTTGTATACTACGGTAAAAATCCACGTATAAGAACCTAGATTTTTCCAACTTAGCCTAAATAGGTTCTTATAGAAATGGTATTTAGTGGGATTTTAGGCTACTTAGGTTCTTAAATAGGTTCTTAATTTAATAGGGGCACTAGTGATCAGCACAGATAACTAGTACAGGGCATATGTGATGTGAATATGTTGCTGTATTAAATAATTATCTGGAATGCAGTTTAGAGAACAACAATGCAGTAAATTTATCGTTGTAAAGTACCAGCATGCATGTCTTTCATGCTGCAGTGTCCATAAAATGCTGTGTTACATTTTGAATCTTTCTGACTGAAACCTAGACTTTTTTTTCCAGTTGTATTTTCTTCTCTACCTTCATTTTTGTATAATAAAAACCTATTGAAAATTTAAATGGGTTCTTAAATTTTAGGTTCTTATATTTGGGTTTTGACCGTATCGCCTTAGCGCAACTTTGGTTTTAATTTGTGGAATTAAAAGCTTTTGATGTTTCTTGATTTACAACAGATTAAGCGTAAGCTGATCCCGAGTATTCCAAATCCATGATCAAAGGCGATTAAAATTGTTTAATCTACGCAAGGAGTATCCCGCTGAAGGAAGGGAACTGTGCTCTCTGATTGGGGCGGAGAGAGGACATTTTTTTGTTCGCTAGGGCTTCCGTCCTTGCTCCACACTTCTCGCACATGCTTTCGATCTTCTATGGCTCAAAAGAAAAATAAGAGACTGCTTACAGTCTAGAGTTACGATATCTTGCGAGTGTTGTCACGAGACAAGACTTGAAGGTTATGTTAGTTTAAGATCGGGCGTCACAATTTCTGGGCGAGGTCTTCTTTCTTTACTCGCCTCTCTCTAACATTGTCCGTTAAAGACATGTTAGTTGAAGACCGGTTCGCTGGAAATGACCCTTTATATGTAGTGTTTAAAAGACGTTTGCGGTTGTACTGAAGAGTTTGTAATATTGTGTTGCTGTCTAGTGGCGTAACATGAGTACACAGAAGAAAGCAGAGTATGAAGCACGTGCTCAAATGCAGCCTACTCCGACTGAATCAGAGGTAAGCTAGTCTGACCTGGGGACAATTTGATAAAACTTTTACACTTGTAATTTACAAGTGTAGCCATTGTTTAAGAGCCTGAAAACAACAGCTACCCTTGTAAATTACACTTGCAAAAGTTTTATTAAATTAACCCCTGAATACTGCCGGCAATTGACTCAGTATAGTCATGCTCCAGGCGTTCAGATAGTTGGAAGCGGCGCCAAGGAAAGAAAGCCTGGGAAGGAAGAGGGGGACTGGGGAGTGCGGCCAGGGAACCGCGCCCAACTATCTGGTCGCCTGGAACAGGCTATGTCATTTTAAAGTAAGTTCTTTGAATGTGTTATTTTGTAAATCGCTGTAAATTATGTGAGGTATTTAAAAAAAATTCTCTGACTTGGAGTTGAGATCTCAGTCATTTTCATAAACGGCTTAATTGGGAGTTTGGTTAACAATGTGAAGTATATACCCTTGCTTTTTTTATTTTACCGATCAACAGACAGCATTCCCGAAAAGTAACGGTAATTCAAGCCGTTATCAGTTGGCTAGAAGATGGTTATACCTACAGCCAACAAATGTAACTATTGAGTAATATCCCGGCATCTTTTTTTTATTGAGCAGTCAACTGAGAGCCCCAGCAGCCAGGTGTTACCAAGTGGTCCTGTTCTTGCTTATGAGTGCTTGTGGAGAGGCTGTGATTATCAGTATGAAGACCTTCAAGAACTCAAGATACATCTGTTAGACAGCACTTGCCATCTCAGAAAATCAGGTACAGTTTTTTCTATTTTCAACCATTTTCTTTTTTTTCCGGTTGATTTCCTTGCCGGACATCAGGAATAATCCGGCCGAAGCCCGATGAAAAGTTTTTTCGGAAGAAAGAAAGCAGTTAAAGAAAATTCCCACTTAATCTTTAAAAGTGAATTTCTTGCGTTGCTATTTCGATGTCACGGCGTCGTGATCAAGGGTTTTTTTAATTGGCCAGCCACTTTAAGAGTTGTACGTTGAATGCATCTGATAACTGGCAATACACCAAGACGTTATTGCTTATTTTAATAGAATAAATCTAGTAGCCTCGTAGTTTCCGACCGCATTTCACGGTCATTCGGTGCGTTTCGTCACATGATCTCGCTTTGGACACGTGACAAGTGTGAAGGGGTGCCCTGACCTTTTTGTATATTAACGTTTATCGAAACCTTTTAGAGAATAGGTGATTGCTCCAGCGAAAAAGCTGACGTTCAGATATGTTTTGTTGTACAGAGGATGGATTTTTTCATTGTTTATGGACTACTTGCATGAGGGAACGACGAGGAATGAGGTAATCTACAAACCGCTCTGTAGGTCGTTAATGCGCATGCCCCGTGTGTGTTAGTATTTTGGTTTGCGATACACTGGAAAGCCTTCTTTTGTCGAAGCTCCTCTATATGTGAGCTGTTCGTAAGGTTGAATGTTGAAATGCACTCAGTATGCATTTGAAAGTTCGTCATTCGAAGACTGCGCTGCTCGGTGCATGCTTTCACATCTTGTAGCCTTTGTGTAGCTAATAGACCTATTCGGCTAACTCAATGTTGTACCCAATTCAAATCTCCCGGGGATAAGATTCTTTGTGTATTGTATTTGCATTATAATGTGGCATTCACATTTAAATGATATGGAAATTCCTGAAACAAAACGTTTTATTCCCAAAGGGTTTGAATTGGGTACAACATTGAGTTAGCCGAATAGGTCTATTGTTGCTGGCGCATCAGTATTATTTATAATTATTTATTTAATATCATTTACTTACAGAATAAGCGATATACTTAGCGTGCTTTGATTTGCTAATAGTTACTCACATTAATACACCTTTCCTAAACAAAACTGAGGTTTACGCTTCTGGAAGCTTAGGAGTACTGGAAATAGCTCACATAACACTCATCTTTGACTTTTTTTTCCGGTAAGTTGTTCATAGTCATAAAACCAGAACTCATGGGAAAGGTGTTTTTTGTTAATCGTTTCTCACGAAGTCGTGAATTTAATATAAAATACATGGCGCCTATAGAGGTATACTCTTAGCTATAGCGATGGCATGTGTTATTTTTCTCCGGCAGGCCGTTTAACGCCAGTTCCAAGTTATTCCGCCATTGCAGAGAGGTGCACCTTGTTGGAAACCCAAAACCAATCACCCAACAGCAAAGAAGCAAGTAAGTTGACTGTGTGTCTACGGTTCTACTTAGTAACATCATCAGAATCAATAATATAATGATATTTTTCCTTGTCGGAACATTCGCGACTTTGTTCTATTCGAGTATAGTTTGTTTGTTGTGGTCAATAAATAGAACAGAGGCCCACTGCTTCCAGTACTTTGTCCTTGACGTTGAAAGGGATCAACGGATTTTGCAGGCTTGTTCAACGCCGTGTTACCTCAGGGTTACTGTGCCGTTACCCTAATTTTACCCCAGGGTCATGGTTACCTGGTGATCTAGTTGTTGACGCTTCAGACTTCGCGTTATTTCCTTGGAAAAGAAGTTTGTTGTACTTCGTCTCTCTACTCCCAAGTGTAAAAGTAGGTACTTGCGATACTTTAGGGTGAGGAAGATCAGCAATCAGGATGGGTACGGTCTCACTCGACTTCGCCCTTGTATTACCCCAGGCCAACTTCGTCCCCAGGGATCTCGCCAACCTGTCCCGTAAGAGAAACCGTGGGAACGAAGTTGATCCCGGGCGTACTCTAACTATAGTTTTCTAGTTTTGTCGTTCATTTCCCGGATTAAGAGAATGTAAATAACATACCACCATTCGGACACAACTGTTAGGCTGACTACACTTCTCATTTGTGGTTACTTCTGCAGGAACTATTTTCCAAAACACCAGGCAGCAGCCATGGTTGTAGCTACTTCTGAACCACCAGCAACTCAACGCAGCACAAGCACTCCTATGACTGCCAGTGGTCCTTCAGCTGGTCCTAATGGCGTAACAGCACACATGTTGGGTATGCTCTCTTCAGGAAATCAGTTTTCTCAAACAGCCACTCACATCCCAGGAAATGCTGCTGTAGCCAATCAAGGAGCTTACATGGGAGGACGGCTAACACCTCAAGCGATGCAGCAAGGTAAACACAATATGAACAGTGGTGCTGAACAAATGAGTGTTTTCCAAAAGCGTGCGCTTCCATTGGTTACTTTGTGGTCACATTACAAATAACAAGGAAGCTGTTTCCTGCCAAAAGGGAATGAAGACCGTTGCAAAATGTATGACGTCAAAGACCAATGCACTGTTACCCGCGATAGCTGACCAGTAGTCTGTTCATATTGGACTTAGTTATGTTCATAAAAAGTTAATTGATGTGTAAATTTTAACCCATTGTGTTGATGATATGTAGCCCTATACCAAGGTAACAGTGGAGTGAGTGGAATAACACAGAATACCCAACAGGCAGCAGCAATGTTACAAAGACAGATGAACATGGCAGTGCAGCAACAACCAACACAACAAACCACAGGTACAACAGGCATTTGAGAGAAACTCAGCCCAGCCCTTGATATGATATCAACGCTCCAACAATGTGAAGGACTTAATTTCTTTTGATTTGTAACAGTCTCTTTGTAATATCTGATTGATTACTGCAGTGACTACTTATTGGGGCTTTAAAGTTGTTGAATAGCGCCTTAAAGTTTACATGATTACAGACATCCTTTAATACTCCTTTGAATCTGCAAAGTTTCAAGCGTTTAGACGTCATTACTACAGTGACAATCTTAAGCGGTATAAACCATGGAAACTTGTTGGCTATTTGTTTTTTTTTTTTTACAGTAACATTGACAGATTTTGACGTTTCTGGTGAAGTTTCTTGGAAAATAATGCGGGAGAGAAAAGAAAACAAATTGCGCCGCCATTACGTCATTTCCACGTCGTAAATTCTCATCAACCATAGCTCTCGACCAATCAGCGCGCGAAAAACTTTTCCGTTATTGTAAAATTTACAATGCATCATTGCGCATATGCCACCTATCCATAGTCCCAGCGCGCAATACGTAGAATCACACCTGAACCCAGTGAAATAGCATCATCTCCCACCAGTCTGTCTCCTGTAGCTCTGTGGTAGGGCATGTCACGGACTAAAAAACATACTTTGTCGTGAATATACAATGTGGCTGATAAAAAAAATTGAGATCGTCTATGTTACAATGTGCCTTCTCTTCTTAGGTCAGGTTGGGGGCTTACAGGTCCAGCAGCAGCAGTACAGCCCTGCACAACAGCAGCAGCAGTTTAACTTTCAACAGCAAATTAACCAGATTAACACTATACAACAACAGCAGCAACAGCAACAGCAGCAGCAACATTACGCCCAGCAGATCCAGCAACAACAGCAGCAACAAGTGATGGCAGCGCAAGCTGCTGTCGTGACGCAACCTCTGCCACCACCCCCTAAGGAAACGGTAAGATGACCGCCTCAAAATGATATCACATCGCTAAATAAGTATAGGCCAAGGACAGATAACCCTTTGGCCTTTTCAATTGATACTCGTGCAATGACTGCAAATTTTTTGTCATTACAAGTCACTGTGTTTCGTTCAGGAACAACGCCATAAAGTTCTTAGGGAAAGATAGCCCTAAGTTGAATTGACCCAGTACACGTTGCAAATACAAAGGAACCCATTTTGTTCTCCTGGAATCAACGTCTGTCACCTTGTCTCCCACTTCTCTATGTTTTGTGATCGCAAGGAGAAAGTCCTGTTTTACCCAGTTTTTAAACAGTTTTGTTCCTTTATGTAGCGATAAAACTGTTATTTTGTGTAGTTTCGTAGAACCTGATTTTAAAAGCCTTACACTGTGACAACCACAATGGGTCTAGACTAGAAAAAAAAGCCGTAAATCGTTACATTAAATATTTACTCTTAGCAAGAATACACCTAGCAGAAGGACCGCCAAATTTAAAATTACACTGTTTCATTAATGTTCGCTTGCAATCTGTTAAACTTGTTCTCATTTCCTTTACAGCCTGCTCCCATATTTCTTGCCCCACCCCCCAAGCCACAAAGACTTCACCACTCAGACGCCTATCTCAGGTACATCGAGGGCCTTCGTGATGGAAGCCCACACATGAGCAACTGGAACCAGGCGCGCAAACCGGACGTCTCCACTATGACCCCTCAACAAGTGGCCCAGTTACCGGTCCACTGGTTGGGATGCGGTTATGGAGACTACAACAATGCTGTTGATGCTCTGTGGGCCTTGAGAGATCACATGATGAGGGATGCACTGACACTTTCCAGGGTAGCAGAAACTTAGTTTAAGACGAAGAAAAGGAAACAGTTCTTTGTTTTGGCAGATTTATCTGCAGTGTTGCGTGGTTCATTTATTTATTTTTTGTCGGGCTGACATTCTGAAGAGAAATGCAGTGTGCAGTTTTCGAAAAACCTCTATTATTCAACTTGTTGTTTTTAGAGACAGTTCTCTTCGCACTGTGTTACAATGACGGTTGCAATACGCTTTCCTGGAGTTTAGGTCGTGTTGCGAATTGTGGGAAATGCGTGTTGTAACACCGTTCATCATAGTTACTTTTTAAGCTCCGTTTAATTTTGTCACCTTAAGTTCTTTTTTAAGTTAGTTATAGCTCATTCCATTTTGGTCTCGAGTGTATCCGTTTCATGTTTGTTCGTTGAAATGCCATAGACAAACCTTGATCTTTGAGCTTATATTTTAGCAGTCTGTGCAGGTTACTAAGCTGTCCAGTTACTGCTAAATAATCGAGGCGATCTATTTCCTTCAACGACTTTAAACAGAGGCCATCTCTTAGCGTTATTGTTATTTGATTGACATTCATGTTCTTTTCCTTGGAGTAAAGTTTGAGGTATAAAAGCAAGTAGCAGGTGGGGTAGTATGTTTGGTTGTTTAAAAAGTTAAACTGATGAGTGGTCACGTGAAGATTGTTTTGGAATCGAAGGTACTCGCTGCCGCGCCGCAGGTAGTCTATACGCTGTATGAAGCGCCTGTTTTTGTTCTGGCAAACTCCAATATTTCTTGATCCCTTTGTGTTTAATCCTAGTCAACCTTCTGTATAAACAATAAATCTTGTTCATTGTTACTTGGAGCTATATTAATTTTGTAATTAACCGTTTGATTTTCCTTCGATTCTATTGGATGCAACTCGTCATATGGCACAACACGTCACATAGTCTCGTCCCCAGGCCTCCTCTTTGCTATTACGCAGTGCTCGTTGTCTCTTGGGAAAGCGAATGCACTTTGGTTCTCAACCTTCCCATGAAGACCCGCGCTGTCTGTTGTCCGTGAGACGGAGGGGCTTGGGGACGAAGCATGTAAGTCTGGAGGGAGAAGGAGAGAGGGAAACTCTGAGCCAGCAAACAAAAGTTCATTAAAGTGGCTCAAATGTTACGAGGATACTAAATAGATATTAAGGTGGCTGAACACAGTTTTGCGGGCGGTCAGCGGGTAACTAGCGTGACAGCGCGTGTTTTAAATTAGACAAACAAACGTGGCGGTGAAGAAAGCAGTGGTACACAGAAGACGATTTCTCAAAGTATACGCATTAGAATTTGGTGAGATTTGGTAGAGTTTTTACTTTTATCGTATTTTAAATAATGAGAACTTTAACATGGAAGTTAAACAGACTAATTTTGTGACACATTTAATAATTACAGTACCATTATATTATTGATTATCGAAAATCCCGTCTGTTAAAATTTGGTCAAATAAGTTTCAAATGGTAATGATTAATTATAGTAAGCTGTGTGCTAGTTTATTGGAAAATCTATTGGGCGAATTTTATGTAAACTGAGCAAAAGTGAAATTTTAAGGTTGTATTCAATCGTTCATGTTGCCATGGAAACTATGAAAACCTCAAATTTTACGTGTCAATCAAAATCTTTCATCAGTATATTTTTCAATTGCCAAGTTTCAGCTTGTGAGCTGCTACCTTTCTCTTGCCATGATTTGGCAAATGACACATACTCATAAACTGCCAAAACTGTGTTCAGACACCTTAACAAGAAACACTCGAACGATATCAATTGTCTGTGAAAGAAAAACTTCCGTTCATATCACGAACCTTCCGAGGAGCTGTCCAGACAACTTTCAAGAAAATTCTAAATAGAGGTAAGTGTGATATTTTTTTGGAAATATGTTGAAAGAATACTCAAAAAGTTAACCTGGATGTTAAAACCCCAAATGCTTTTTGCTTCCAGCTTTAAAGATCCAGAGGATTTGTTAGGGCATCCCACCATCATTTATTTTGTTAGTTCCCGGATCTTTGGGAAAGTAGTAAGGGAGTATTGGGTAAGTGTGGTCCATAGTAATCTTTATCCGTTAAATCAGTCGGTCGGATACTTACAACTGTGATGTCTTCACAACAGCGTTTTTATTATTCTCAGATTTTGCCAGTGGTGACCACTGAGTAAACATTTTTCCGTATCTGAAGCTTTGCCATAGCGTTGTTTTCTTAGAAAGGAAACTTTGCTTCATTGAGTCCTTTTTGTTTGTTTGTTTGTTTCCCCAAGTGAATAACTGAGTACCAGCGACATATTCTTGGGGTTAACGCTGCATCCCATTCACTGAGGTAGGGTAGGGGGGAGAGGTGGTAGGCATTCAGAATTCGTAATGCCTCGACTTTGAGTTGACCGGGCCAAGTCTCTCCACGAAGGCCAATTGTTGGCGTACTCCCAGGGTTGTAACTCTAAGCTGCAAACGAGTTAAATTTCTCAGAGACTATTCAGTAAGTTCATTTGATGTTAAGATAACTCTCCTCCGAGTAAGACTTGACAATATTTCATTGCCTTCCATTACGAGTTTCTGGAAAAGGAAATTAAATTTTTTGTAAAATTTCGCCTAACACTGTGTCAAAGCTAACTATTTGTCCCGAAACTTAGGCCAGATTATCATTATTCCCGTACGAAATAAAAAAAGTAATGCCGAATAGTTATATCTATGTTGTTGTTTGAATTGTCGAAATAGAATCAATATTTAGCTAATAACAACTGGTTTGAACCAGGGGCAGGAACTCATTTAAACTGAGTCGGCTCAGTCAGTGCAAAGACAAACTGACACCTCTCACGTTTGGTCCGCTTAGATTCCTAACAGCCACCAACATCACTACTTAACTACGACTTTATTGATTAACCACATCCGAAACGGCTCAGTAGACTGAGCTTCCTTCCATTAGCTTAAGATACAACTTACTGTGATTCTGTTGATGACAACCACTCAAGTCGGAGAAACGTCAGTTGCTCAGCTCACCTGCCTTGCACTGAATCAGAGTCCTATTCAGGGCTATTCTCAATATGACAATCATATTCAACCCATTAAAATAACCCATCAGTTATTTAATTGCGAAATTTTCATTTTTTTATTTTCGTCTTGCCATTGTTATCGTACGCGCATTAATTGATTGTAACAACAAAATTCAGAAGTTTGCACGTAACTTCTACTTCGCATCATTCCCGCGCTTCCACTGAAGATTTTTGCGTTTTTCTTTCCATTTTTTTTCATATCCCATTCTATATAAATGTATTTTATATTTATATAGATAGATATATGTATATTTCAGTCTTTTGCGACTAATGAAGGGCAGTTTAAGTAGCCCGTATAAAGAATAAAAAAGGGAGATTAGGAAAACCAATCATCCTGCTCAAGCCACGCCTCGCAGGCTGTTGAGATTCAGGTTATATTGATAGAATAACTGTTTAATATCTCCTTTGGTTAGCGAAAAATCAAGCCTGAAGAAACGCTCAAATGCATATAACTGGTAAGTTCTCCCTTAAGTGAAATGTATAAGGTTTCTCAATAGCGATAAAAAGAAATCAAAGCGATTTGAAAAGGGAAATTTCGAGGAAATGATTCAGACTGTGAATTGTTTTTAGGCTTTCTTGAGAGATAAGATAACGCTTAAAGCAAATAAATTCAAAAGAGCTCAATTTATCTTTTATTTTAAGGTTTGAATTGCATTGCAATCAGTAACACTTCTGCGTTATTGAAGGAAAAATAACTGACATATTATTAGACTTATAGGTTTAAATAGGTGCTTTAGTATTCAGTCACTCAAATTAGTTTTTTTAACCCAAATTTTTGCTGTTGCTAGTGTATTTCAGTTACTGAACCATATCCCTTAATACTTTTATTACCGACTTGGTTGTGGAAATGTTTTGTAAAAAGTAGATAAAACATTTTGATTGAATTTTATCGTGGATCATTAACTATCAGCTCAGTCTACCTTTGAACGCCTCAAGAAGCTCTCAAAGTGTTTTCCTGTAAAATTCTATCAGGAAAAAAGCATTTCTTTTCATCTTAAGTGAGCTTTAATTCTACCAAAGTCAGTTAAGTGAAAGAGCACAATAGCTGCCGACTCTATTCAGTTGGACTCTTGAAGTGCTGAATTGCAGAAATAGGTGACAAGTCTTATTGTGTGGGGGACTATGATTGCGAGTGCCATTTCAAAGAAAGCTTTCTTCACGCTGTCGTCAACATTGAAAAAACTGACAAGAAGTTTAATTACATGGAAATTTTAAACCAACCAACGCTCGACGGCAGATGTTTGCCGAAAGCAAGTGCGAAAACGTATTCGAACCTGTGGTCGCCATAGAGGATATTGCAGGCACAAAACAAAACGCCTTAAACTTGATAAAAAACAGAAATGACGAGATAAAAAAAACTTTTGACTGCTTTGAAAATGAACATGACAAAATTTGAGGTTTTTCAGTGAACAACGTAGGTAATTAAATATTGATGAAAAATTTATCTGTAAGCCATGCAATAATTAGACAAGTTTTCTTACTATCTTTTTGATGTTACAACCGTGGCATATGATGTTATCACCGTGGCAAAACCATCGTTTCTAGTTGTTGTGGTTTGCCTACTTTTTAAGTTGTGTCGGATTTACTTAGATCGGCAATCAGTATTGATTATAGACCATAAAGGCTTAAGCTCGCGTCAGAAACCAATATAATCGTAAATAATGCCGAAGTTAACCACCCAAACATGATAATTTCATTTAATGGCTATTTCCTTCGTTTTGTGTTGAGACAATTTTAATCGCCCTTCTACTGTTTCCGATCGGAGAGATATCTCTGCGCCCATAATTATATCCGCTGATATGGTACCCTGAGGTACAGAACGAAGGTGAATCGTCGACGCGAATGAAACTAATAATAATGAAACTTGTTCAAACACAGCAATTTATCATACATTACTTTCCCACAAGTAACTTTTGACGTAGTTTATGTCAATAGTGTACCTGTGCTAAAATTGTTGTATTGTTGGTTTTTGGAAACTTTAACTGGTTGACGTTTGTCTCTTTTTCACTACAGTTGTATTTATAACGAGGTGAATCTTGTTTTCAAATCAACTTTGATGAAGTCATATTATTACAGGTTATTTTTACTTCAGTGACAAGACGCAGATAAATCTTTTGTCAAATAAAGTATTATTCGCGAATAAATGAAAAGCTGTATTTAATCTGACTTTGTTTGTACAATGTACACTGTTCTGCAGTCAGTACGTGGCTGATTACTTATGCTAGGAAATTGCGCTTTCAAGCATAAAGTTCTAAATAACATGAACATTTATTTCCACACAATACCACAATAAAGCTTTGCAACATAATACACAACACTGTATGACTAAGGAGTGCTGCTTTGTGTCAAACCATGGAATTCAAAGTTATTTGATCTTGACGGGCGTAGCTTCTTTTACTGTAACACGGAATCATCATGTACAATTCGGTGCGAAAGTCTTGTTTCAAAAAGGTGTACAACATTGGGTTTATAAATGAGGTGGAGAAACGCAAAAAGTCGAAAACTAAGAGCCAATCCAGTGGCAGTGCATAGAAAACGTCCTGACTGAGGTACTCCTGGAATAACATTAAGTACCATGTGGACCAACAGCATGTAAATATACCAAGCATCAGAGCGAAAATTGTGATGGCGCGTTTTTCAGCGACCAAATGTTTGCCCCGCGTGCTGCCACCGCCACACGACTCGTGAAGGTGGTTTATTTTTCGGATCTGCTGAGCCTGGTGACGAATTACGCAGAACATTC